GATAAAGCAATAAAAACCCAACCAAACAGAACAGTGAGAATGATCAAGTATTTTGAAACAGTAGGGAATTAACAATAACCACCACCTTCAGAAGGAGATCCTCTATATATGTGTATTGTGTATTGTTATCCTCTGAATAGATGATCAGACTACTGGCTTTGGGCCTGCTAAGTCAGTGAAACATTAAACACTATAAGCATTAAGTTGTATTTTTACCTCATTAGCTATCATCACAACCTGTGTTTCTTCAGATCAGTCAGTCACTTATGGGAATGAGGAGACAGATGTTGGCTCTTGTCTCCCTACCTTTGCTCTAGGAAGGGCTGGTCAGCCCACACATGGTACCAACTCATAGGAGGTGTTAACCTAATTTTAATACATGGTTTTTATTGTTCAGGTCAGAACATTTGATTCTTTTTTCTTTCTTTCTTGTATCAGGGGTCAAACTCACGACCTTGCGCTTGCCAGGCAGGTGCTTATTCTCCTGAGCTAAATCCCCCAGCCCCATACTTGATAATTTCTATTATTTCTTGTTTCGCCTATGAAATATTTGAAAGTGTATGTCTTGATTTTCAAATTTTCTTTTCTTTTTACTTTTTTTTTTTCTTTTTGAGACAGGGACTCACTATGCGGTTCAGGCTGACCTTGAGCTCACTTTGTAGCCCAGGCTGGTCTTGAACTTGCATTGATCCTCCTGCCTCAGCCTCCCAAGTGCTGGGATTACAGGCATGAGCCACCACGCCCAGCTCCGATTTTCAAATTTTCAAAGTTGGTCTTTTTATTGGGGTTTAGTCTTAAAGCATTGTAGTCAAAGAACGTTCACTGTATGATTTTACATCTTAAAATTGTTAAGACTTGCTTTATGAATCAGTTTTGTTCAATTTTTATAAATATTTTGTGTATCAAATATCTTTTGTTGGTTGAAGCATAGAAGAAACTTCAACTTTGTTAACTTTTCCTAACCTGATTTCTCCCATGTCATCCTCTCAGTTACTTCCATTAAAAACCTGGTAGTTATTCTAAATTTTTCATTTGTTTTCAGTATCACATAAATATATACCTATATTCTAAATACCATTCTTACATTGTTTCTGGTTTTCTGTTTTTTTTGAGACAGCGTTTTTCACTATGTAGTTCAGGCTGCCCTTGAACTTCCTGTGTAGGCCAAGCTAGTCTTAAGCTCTTGGCAATCCTCCTGCCTCAGCCTCTTGAGTGTTGGAATTGCAGGCATATAGCATCATGTCCAGCTATTTTTGTTACAGAGTATACTATGATTATCTTTAAAAGTTAGAAAATGTGAAGTATATAAAATAGATTATTCAGAGCTCTGCTATCTAGGGATTGTTTTCTTATTTCAACTTCTTCATGGCCCTAATTCAGGATTGTTTCCCATTATTTATAGGCTACTACAGGTTTATTAGGTTTCTATCTTTTCTCTCCTTTGCATAACATTCATTTGCTTATTCTTTCAGCCAGAATTGAGAATCTAAGTGCTAGGTTCAATGGATATGTAACAATGAATAAGACAAGTAAATAAAAGTCCCTGCCTTGATGAAACTTTTATAGTTCAAAGCCTTTTCATTTGCCCAGTGTTACTTTTGCCACTTTCTGTTATAGTTTGAGCTTTAAGTATATAGTAGTGAAGTTTTGTTAAAAAATTTGTGCTGTGAGAGTGGCTTTGCACCTTTGCGTATGTCCCCAGTGTTGATGAAATTGTCTCTTAACGGCTTGCTGGGACACTATTATAAACGCCTTACCCTCTTCCATTAAAAGCTGAGTCTTGGGTATTGAACTCATGATCTCACCCTTGCCAGTCAGGCGCTTATGCCACTGAGCTAAATCCCCAGCCCTAAACGCTGAATCTTGAAACTTTATGTGACTGCCTCTTGTTCCTGCATAGATTAGGTACTGATCTCATGTCTCTTTATTATAAGATTTATATCATGTATAGTTTTTGGCATGTATATATATTTCTCTCCTTATGCTGTAGTTTCTTTGTGTATGTACTATATTTTTCCATATTTGTTTAATATTGAGCATAATACTTTAGGTGAGTTAGATGAGTTTAGATAAAATCATGTTTTTCTTAACTTTCATTATATAATCCTTATTTTTTATTATAAAATAGTTTTGGGTATAGATTATTTCAGTGGTTAAAATGTGATTAACTAAAAAGTATATTCTGAAATAGTCTGTCTCAGATACACGTTTTCAGTGGACATAGAAATGTATACATTGGTTGTTTATAATATGACTGCATGTTTGCATATAAGCCATTATAATGGGGATTGGGATTCCAAGTCAGCTGATCTGTAATTTGTCATGCAGTTTATTTGTAGTGTTCCTAGTACTTATTATCTATTGTAATGGTTTCATAATTTAACTTTGTGGTCTATTAAATGTGTTTCTTCTTAGTGTTGCCCAACTGGAACTAGAGTATCTGCTTGTTTTGTCACAAATAGCACCCCTAAACAAGGGGTGCAGCAAGGTCAGGAATGAGTAGATAACATCTACAGAGTGAGTTGTGTACTTCTATACCCATATCCGGTTGTCCTTTCAGATAAAAAGTATGAGGATAGTTTTTGAGTTAGTAAATCCTTGAAGAAAGAGCTCCATATTTTGACATTCAGGGGTTTTCAGTTTAAGTGTTGCCTTCTCATCTGATCACCCTAATGCAAAACTCACTGCTGAGCATTCCTATGTGAGTTACTATAAACCTCAGTGTTAAATGTCACTGGACAGCTAAGGTTCAGTAAATAGTTGAATAAAGCCTCCATATGAAAGGGGAGGCCAAGATGCAGATGGGTGGGGGGAATCTATAGGAATACATATATTGGATAGGGTTTACTAAGAGCAGAACAGTACTAAGACATATCCTTAATAAAATTTCAAGCCATGAAAGATAAAGATACTAAGCCGGGGGTGGTGGCTCTTGCCTGTGATCCCAGCACTCGGGAGGCTGAGGTGGGAGGATCAGGCTGAGGTGGGAGGATCGTTGAGAGTTCAAAGCCAGCCTAGGTTACAAAGTGAGCTCAAGGCCAGCCTGAACTGCATAGCGAGACGCTATCTCCAAAAAAAAAAAAAAAAAAAAAAAAAAAAGACACTAAAAAACTTCCTGATGGTGAAAAAGGTAACTTATCAGGAAGTAAAAAACAGAGTAGAATGTGTTTGTTTTTTATTTTTTCATTACAACATTGTATACTGTGCATAACAGAAGAATACCATCTAAATTCTAAAGAAAATTATTTCCAACATAAAATGTTTTTGTGCAAGAAACTGTAAGTTGTTACTGGTTGTTTTGTTTCTGTTTTGTGGCACTGGAAATTGAAGCTATGGCCTCATGCATGCCAGACAAGTGAGTGATCTACCACTGAGCTGCATCCCTTACCCCCTTTTTTTTCTTTTGGTTATTAGTCCCCCCCCCCCAAGAATGAAACACTGGGCCTCATTTTTGCCTCTGAGCTACATTCTTGGCCCTTTTGATACAGGGTCTTGCTATGTTGCCTGGACTGACCTTGAACTCCTGGACTCAAGCAATTTTCCTGCCTCTTCTAAGTAGCTGGGACTACAGTGCACACCTGTACACCCATATCAGTCAGTTGTCAGAGTAGGATTGGGATATGTTTAGATAAAGGTTAAAGAAAATTTATATGTGAACATTCTTTTATTGCTTACCACTGCTTCCAGAAAACAGAATAGTAAGAGGAACTTCCAAGATAGCAAGGTCAAGACCTAGAATGGTCATTCCAGATTGGTGTAGGTACATAGAGGGCTCTAGGAGTAAGAATTACCTGTGTGTGTGAGATTTGAAATTATCCTTGAAATTTTGAAATGAGGCAGTAAAAAGATACAGTGAGCAATTCCGGGGAAAAACTAATGGTGTACTGCTCATTTTTACAGTGACTAATGTGTTTGCATCTTTTTAATGAAGCAAAACTTTGACTTAATGAAAATAACTTAGACTTATAGAAGATAAGAGGTAGGAAATGGGAGTTGGTTATACAATGTGAATTGTCTTTTATAGCAAGAAGTTAGGATTGAGATCAATCATTTTTTTTTTTTTTGTCTTTTTGAGACAGGGTTTCACTATGCAGTTCAGGCTGGCCTTGGGCTCACTTTGTAGCCCAAGCTGGTCTCAAACTTGCTACGATTCACCTCAGCCTCTCAAGTGCTAGTATTACAGGAGTGTACCACCATGCCTGGCTCGATATGAGTCATTTTAAAAAGAGATCTATAAGCACATTATTTGGAAATAAGAAAGTATATCTTACTCCTTTCTGTGCTATTTGATTTAAAAATTCTATATTATTACTCTTTTATATCTCAAATGAAGAAATAGTTTTTGAGCTGTGTACTTTATGCTTTTTGTCCTTTAGGTTAAACCCTTGTTCTTTTTTTTTTTTTTTAAATCTGTACTGGGAATCAAACTCATGACCGCCTGCTTGCAAGCAGGTGCTTATGCCACTGAGCTAAATCCCCAGCCCTAAACGCTTGTTCTTTTGAAATTAAACTTTTAAGTGTTCTTCAAATTAAAAGAAAGGCATCCAGTCTCAGGTTTCAGTTTACTCTCGGAAGATAAGAGAATTTATTCTCCTTAGCTTTTTTGCAGCCCCAAGTTGCCTTGTACCTGGATTCTGTTTGGCCTTGCTTGGACTCTGAATTTAACCATATCTGAATGAAAGATTTCCCTTAAAATGGTACCCTCATTAGTTTGTATTTTATTCTTTATGGGTTTAACCGATATTCAATATTTACTGCTTTTCCCAGGAAATAGAAAAAATTGTTGGGAAGATGGCAGCTTTGTGCTGTTTAAAGTACAATACCTGTTGCACTTATGATTAGGGTAGCCATAGAATGGATTTTTCTTCTCTCTCTAAGCAGTACCCATTTCTCCTCCTGTAATCCCAAATTATTTAAGCTTTGTGGATTTGGTAACTCAAGGAAAGTGCTCTAGTGGGAGTGTGAAGTAGGACTAGATTTTTCTTTCTTTTCTCCCTTAGCTGCAAAGTGGTACTTCGTGGGCTAACGAGTAGTGGCAAGGGTACTGGAGAAATGGTGTGGTGGATCTGTCATGGCTGATTGGGGTTACCAGCGAAGAGGAGGGAAATCGCAGCAGCACATTAGAGGGATGAAATTTCCTACTGGGGAGGTGAGTTCTATGTTGTGGTATGGCATTTGGCCCTTAGAAGATTTATCTTCATTTAATTACCGGTTACTGCTGGTATTTTATAGATTATTTATTGTATTCCTGCTACATTTTGGGCACCATGCTAGGTACTGGGGAAGTAACAGTAAACAAGAAAGGACAGTCTTTGGGCAAAGAATATATAAAGATAGGCAGGCAAATGGAACACACAAATGGGACATTTATGATGTAGGAACTGTATGTAGCAGGCCAAAAGAGCAACTAACCTGAGCTTGGTGGGTGTGCTTGAATCAGGAAAGTACCCTTGAAGATCTAGATGAGTTTTTCTTACACTAATATTGGGCTCTTAGGATAGGGATCTTGCCTGTCTTATATAAGTCACCTTTGTATCCCTAGAGCTTAGCATACGTCCTTTTTTGAAAGTTCAGCTTTATTGAGATATAATTGATATGTCATAATACAGTTCACCCATTTAAAATGTAGAATTTGTTGGCTCTTCGTATGTTCACCAAGTTGTACCAGTGTCACCACGATTAAACTTGGAAAAAACGTTTTTATCTGGGGCTGGGGATTTAGCTCAGCGACATAAGCGCCTGCCTTGCAAGCAGGCAGTCGTGAGTTCGATCCCTGGTACCGATAAAAAGGAAAAAGACAAAAAAACCCAAAAACACCAAAAAACGTTTTTTATCAATTTTTATTAGTATATTTTTGTTACACATAGTAAATATATCCATTATGAGAGAATTAGTAAATATACACACATATATATTACAAATATATCATCTTGATCGTTTTTACTTCCTTTTTCCCATCCTTTCAACTCTTGATTCTCTCTTTTTTTTTTTTTTGTCTTTTTCTTTTTTATCAGCACCGGGGATTGAACTCACGACTGCCTGCTTGCAAGGCAGGTGCTTATGCCTCTGAGCTAAATCCCCAGCCCCTCAACTCTTGATTCTCAAAAAAACTGTTTGATTCACTGACCTTTCCTATGGTTTTGGCTTTTTTTTTTTTTTCAGTTTTGATTTATTAATTTCCCTTCTCTTACTCTGTTACCTGTATTATTTTATCAGAAATTGATGTATTGAGTCAGATTATGGTAATACTCGAAGAAATGTGTATTAGTGTACTGCATTATCCTAAATCCATGGTCAAGTAACATACAGTTTTCTCAGTCCCCAGGTACATCCTCATTCTTATTTATCAATCATTGAATTGCTCACTCAAATATATTTCAGATACATCTTTGTTTATATAGGTTCCTTTAAAGATAAATGTTGTTATGTAGGCATGTTTTCAGTTTGCATAAATGATTTTATTCTGCTGTTGTTTTTGGTATTGGGGATTGAACCCTTGTGCATGCTAAACAAATCCTACCACTTAACTATATCCTTGACCCTACTTTTGTTTTCATCAGTGTGCTTACATAATCTTTCCACGATGTTATATGTATATTCCACCCCCAAATCTTAGCAGTGTACTATTATTTTTATTAAATTACACAATGTACATTTTACTTTTAATATCTAATCCATCTGGCATTCACTTGTTCTGTGTATCCAGAGTTAGGAGTATGGTCTTTCCTCTATTTAAGCTAAATTTACTAAATGTTTGTTTACATAATGAAATTTCTTTTTTTCTATTTGGACTTTGTTATTTTTATAATGTATCAATTTCTCTGATTGTAAGTCTGTTTTAGAGATACTCACTTACATTAGTCTCATATTTGTTCCTTACCTGTTTAGAAGTTTTTTTCTGGAGAATGTCAAGTTTCTGGATTGTCCAGTCTTTCCTTTTTTCCTATTAAAAGTTGACTTTCAGCAGGCACTGTGCAGGCGTGTAATGCCAGTTATTTTGAAGACTGAAAGAAGGATCACAAGTTTGAGGCTAGTTTAGGCCATTTGTCTCAAAAAAAAAAAAAAAAAAAAGCTAGAGGAAGATGCTTGGGATATAACTCTGTGGTGAAAGTCAAGTAACCTGGTATTCTTGGACCTTTAGCTTTTCATGTTATTTTTATAATTATATTTGGCTTCCTGAAAAAATCTGCTGAAATTTTAATTGGAGCATCATTGAACTTCCAAATGTAATGAAATTTGGCTTGTATTTAGCTTAGAATTGTTTGGAAGAAGTGACCATTTGAGGAAGTGAGGAGATTCTAGACATTCTTAACATCCTTTAAAAAGAAAAGCTAAGACCTAGAAGTTTAAAATGAATCTTGAGAAGATCAGAGAATGCCTTATATAATACAATACAGAAGGACATAAGAAAAAGTCTGTTGTGCAGCTCCCATATTTGTATTTGTTTTAATTTAAATTTTCTGTAGTCCTAATCAGAGAGGCAGCCTACATATGAGATGAGGTGAAATTCAGGATAAAGCTTGTGGCTGTTGGGTGGCATCAACTGTACTTACAAGGTACAGTTAACAATCAGTCAAAAAGTCTGTTTGTCCTGGCATTTTACAGTATATGAGCTATACTTGCAACATGTATAATGAGTTTATATTGTAAAAGATGCTCTTGAAAATTATGAAAAGATTAATATTTCAGTTAAAATGGGCAAAGAAAATCAGTTTCTAGGTGATAAAACTGTTATCATAGCAGTTTGATAATAATAGAAATAGTGTGTATATATATATTGCCCAGTAGAAAAAGGATGATGATACTTTGTGAAAAAGTATGTGCTCTCAAGTACCACTCTGATATTGCCAGTGGGACTATTGATTGGTACTTTTTGGGAATATAATTTGATGATATCTGTGACATTAAAACAATGTAATAAGGGCTACATAAATCTGAGTAGTAAGTACTTGATGGTTCATTATACTGGTTTTGTCTACTTTTGGTTGTTCTTTTTTTTTCTTTTGGTACCAGGGATAGAATTCACAACCTCGTGCTTGCCAGGCAGGCACTTATGCCACTGCTAAATCCCTGGCCCTGTCCACTTTTGTATACTGTTATATTCTAATAATAATTGTTGTATAATAAAAAGAACAAAAATATAAATATTCCTTGTTATAGAGCTTGCTTATTTTATTTGGTAGTTGGAAATGTAAAAGAATGACTATATTTTTGCTTGTGGTAAAAAGTGGAAACATTGTAAATATTTTTCAACTACTTTATTGTTAGAAATTAGTTTAGCTGGTGATGAAAAGAATGAAGAGTAGAGAGTAGCTGCTGCCATTGAGTGGTATCTCTGGCTCTGACATGTTTTTAGTGAGACAGCAGTCTCCCTAAGTTGTCTAGGCTGGCCTCAAACTTGTCATCCTCTTACCTTCATCTTCCAAGTTCCTGAGAATATAGGCTGCATCGTCCTGCTTGGCCTGAAAGATTTTTATAGCTCTTATTTTAAGCTTACACAGATGATAGTTACATTGTCCAGGATATGATATGTGATCAAAATGTATGGTGACTGTTTAAATTTTGAAAAATTTACTACAGTAAAAGTGTCATTAATCCTACTTGATTTGAACACTTAGTCTGTTCTTGCGACTTTTGTGAAGTAGCTCTGAAAGTGTTGTATCTTTATGAGATGTGATTAAAAATAAGGAAATACTGCTGCTATGTGTCATCCAGTGAAAAGGCAGACTTGTAAAAACATTACGATAATCTTATTCACTGGGTCTGGCAGTTATGTATCTTTTGTTCTTCCTCAAAGTGAAAATGATCATGAAAGGGGTATACATTTTGAATGGATTCAGTACATCTAGGCAGCCATGACTGCATCTAAACATTTGTGGAAAAGGACTTCCAAAACTATTTCCTAAAGTGGAAAAAATGATGACTCTGTTTGAAATGGGAATATTTTGAGCTGGATTAATGATACTGTGTCTTATTACTATAGTACTTTTTGAAAAAAGTAAACATTCACTGTATTTTTGATCATACTATTTTGTGAGAAAGTTATAGAAAATAATACCTATATAATATTCATTCCACTTTTGGTTAAAAGATACGAATTGTAATACATACCTGAGAAAAGCCAGGATTTAAAAAGCTTTTGTGTGGCAAGATAGTCCAGGAAATTTTTGCTTTTAACTATGTGTTTCTATGTTATCTTACTTATTTTTCCATGAGTATATTTACTTTTCTTTCTTTTTATTGGTACCTGGGATTGAACTCACTATCTCAGGCCTGCCATGCAGGCACTTAAACCACTGAGCTAAATCTCTGGCCTCAGTATATTTACTTTTGCAATCCAAAAGAGAATAATAAATTTAAAAATTAGCAAATTGCTTCCTAGTAAAGGTTATATTCTAGAAAGGGGGGAAGTAATTGATGATACGGGAAAATTGAAATATTTAAATAGTTGGGGATACATACAAAGGTGTTTCTCTTAGGTTTGGTTTATGGTTTGGGTCATTCATCTTTTTCTTGCTTTATTTTCTGTAAGATTTCTTTGACTAGAAAAATCAAAGAAGAAATGCTTTTGGAAATGATTTACTAATGTCTTTTGATATGATAGTTATATTTGTTTAGGTAAGAGGTTGGTATGTATCTGCTTTAGATAATGAATCAGTTTGTTGTTTACTTGAGCAGAACTGAGATTATTTGTGCATATAGTTCTTGTGGAAAAAAACATGCATAGATTTTTCTGGACTTGGACTTTATAAATTTATAATAACTATTCCTCTTCTGCATACCATATCTTATGTAGAACATGTATGTAATCTGTTACAGACATCTCTTTTTAGCGGAGGCTGGGACTGAGTAGATTACAGTGGGTTGAAGAATAAATATAGAATTAAAGACAATAAGTTACATAACTTTTCTCCAGAGGTTTAGCCATGAATGCTGAGAAAGAAACAGGAGAAAATGGTGGAGAACATAAAGTATCAAGAGAATTTTATTCTCCTCCTTTGCCCAAATTTTTGCAAGTTTTTCAGCATAATTAAATGCCATAGTTGAAGGTATCAGGAGAAAAACAATTTATTAAATGCTAGCTCTGTTTTGGTATTGTCTGACCTTTGTCAAGTTATTTTGTCTTGCAAGTTGTAATTTCTACATATAAAAAGGTAATTGTAAATTTTCATCTCCAAAAATGTCTCCTCTACAGCCCTAGTCTTCAATATTAAATTACCTCTGTATGTGTCAACCCTGGCTCAAAAAAATGATGAGTGAATGGATATGCAGGGCCAAGGCATGTAGTAATCTTATTTAACTCTCCTAGAGGTATGACCATGAATAGGAATAAAAGATAAAGAGAAGGTAGTAGAGCGAAGCATAAGGAATTAAGACTTTTATTGGTCAGATCTGCTTCAGAAACACAATATACCAGAAATACTAGGAGAAACAGGGCAGTGGTGGCGAACCTATGACACACATGCTGTAGCAGATTGTATCTTCTGAAGCTGTAATGATACAATTAGAGCTCTAATGATGCATCGCTGCATTAGAGGATGGAAAAATAACAGTGCTTGATGTCTTCTAAGGACAAGTACTGTTTAATGTTAGTACAGAAAAGTGTAAGACAGGAATAGGAAAACAACAAGAAAAACCCAGATCTTGCTCTCATGAAAAAGGAACACATTTGATGAATTACTAGCAGAGCATGTGAAAGTGTTTGGGAATATTTGCAATTTTTATTTATTTATTTTTTTGTGTGTACATTTTGCTCCAGAATTGGAAAATTGTGGGTCCCAGAACAATACTCTTGGTATTTGTTGTGATCATTTCTCACTCAAGTTAATTCTGTTGTTGAGGCAAGTTTAATTATTTTAACTGAAGGCATATAAAATCTCTCAGATCGCTTTTTAAAAAGCTTTTTTAAAGTTACTTGTCAGTAGAGTCATTTTTATATTGTGATTTAAAGGTATTAACTTGTTTCAGTGTCTAGAAAAAGAAGATTCTTTGCTTGGCCTTGAAACATTCCTGCTGATAGAATTTTTTTTTTTTAATTTTTTTTAAGGAGAAAAAAGAAAAAAAAAAACAGAAAAAGGGTACAAGTTCTACAGAATTTCAGAAAAAATAAACAGGAAATCACTAGTTAATTACATATTGTCATCTTAGAAATAGTTGTTGAAGTTGATAGAATTATTTGTGATTTATCTTGTCAAGCATTTAAAACAGTAGTTCTCAGAATTTGATCAGTGGATCCTTTTAGGACTTCTGTAAGATTGAAAAACACTTTGTTTTGTTTGCTTGTCTTTTGAGATGAGAATCTTGTTATATATTTAACTCTTGGACTCAAACCATCATCTTGCCTCAGCCTCTTTAAATACCTAAGACTACAACACATCAAGGAGGGTTTTTTGGTTTTGTTTTGTTTTTTCTTCTTTGCCTTGCTTACATTTGTATAGATGTTGAAGAAACAGTGTTAGGTAAAATTGCTTTGTGATTTAGCATCAGTTGAGGCACTGGCATCAGACCATCCTGTGATGAGATGTAATTGAACTATTTGGTGACTATTTCAATTTTTTAAAAGTTTACTAAAAGACACATTGCCATTATTTACCTTCAAAACAATCCCTCTTCAAATACACCCATAATTCTTGCCACTCTCTGAAGCAGTTCTGAAAGTCTTCTTTTGTGTGTCTTTACAAGGTATGATCAAAAATACGGTGAATGCTGCTGCCAAGTGCTGCCCAATGGAAAGGTAGGCTCATCAAAACATTATGATATGTCTTTACTAACCTTGTGTACTGGTTCTGGTACTGTTTAATTTTTAGTTCCTTTCCACAGTCAAAAATGACCATGAAAAGTAAATGTTTTGAATCCATTCAAGACATTTAGGCAGCCATAACAGTACAACTAAAGACACTCATGAAAGAGGACTTCAGACAGTGACAAGAATGATGAGATGAGTTTGAAGTGAGTGCGAGATTTTTGAGGGAGGATTAATGACAGTGTATCTTTTATTATAATAAATAAAAGCTTAAACAGAGCACAGTGGCGTATACCTGTAAACCTAGCACTTGAGGAGCCGAGGCAAAAGAATTAATATGAGTTTGAGGCCAGCCTGGGCTACAAAGTGAATTAGTTCAAGGTCAGCCTGAAATGCATGGTGAAACCCAATCACAAAAAGGCCAAAAACAAAAACTTTGAAATTATTTACTGCATTTTTCTGTCACACCCTTGATCTTCATTGTCACATACTGTCACACTCAAGTTAAGTATAAAATAAACACAAAGTATAAAATAAACACATATACAAGAATCTTACTTCGCTTATGATTCTTTGTTTTATTTTTTTGGTACTGGGGATCAAACTCATGACTGTACTTGCCAGGGAGGTGCTTACACCGCTGAGCTAAATCCCCAGCTGCTTATGATTCTTAATGAAATAGTAAAAATTTTTAAATCTAGACCTGAACTGAGAATTTTAATATGTATGATGAAATTTAATATGTGTGATGAAATAGAAAGTACGCGTAAAGTATGGATAAATAGAAAGCATGCCATTGTTGAAATTACCAGCTTAATTAGCAGCTATTTCATGGAATACTATTTTTGCTTAAACCAGTGAATCCCTTATGCATGTTGCAAGTAATTTCTTGATGTGATAGACTTTTATACTTACCCTTTTATTTAAGCATATTTTTGGTTTTCCTTATTTTGGTGGGTTTGAGTAATCTTGTGTTGTTTCTTTAATATAATTTTTTGGGGGGTATCAGGAATCAAACTCAGGACCTTGGGCTTGCCAGACAGGCACTTGTGCCTCTGAGCACGGCCCCTTTAATATAGTTCTGTTCGTGCCACCTCTTTTTATTTTGTTCTTGTCAATTTCTATATGTTTTAGGCTTAACAGTATGATTATATATTTTGTATATTTGTTTTGGGGGAAATGTGCACTCAGTCCTTTATGATTAAATTACCTTTAATACTTGTGTGTGTACGTGTGTGTGTGTTTGAATTTGCTTCTGCATTTAGTTACTTTCAGCCTTAAGCATTTTAGGAATTGATGGGCTGGGGATTTAGCTCAGAGGCATAAGCACCTGCCTGGCAAGCGCAAGGTTATGAGTTTAACCTGGTACCAAAAAAAAAAAAAAAAAAAGTTTTAGGAATTGGGCATAGTGCTAAATTCCTGTAATTCCAGCAACTTGGGAGGCTGAGACAAGGAGCATCCCAAGTTAAGGCCAGCCTGGGCAATTTAGAATGATCCTTTCTCCAAAAAGGATAGGTTGGGCTGGGGATGTAGCTCAGTTCTAGTGCTTATAAGGTAGCCTCTCTGATAAGAGATACAGTATTTATTTGAAAGTATCTATTTCACTTTTGAAATACAGTTTTGCTACATATAAGATTCTTGGTTGGCACATTTTTCTTTTCATATTTTGGCCACTATTTTCTTCCCATCATTGTTTCTGATGAGCAGTCATCTGTTGATTTTGTTAAGATTTTCTTATGCATCATAAATAATTTTTCTGTTGCTGCTTTCAGGGTTTTGTTTTTGTCTTGCAGCATTTTTACTAGTGTGATTTAGTGTAGCTCCATGCTTATTGTACATGAAGTTTATTGAACTTCTTAGATATATTGATGAATGCTTTTAGTAACTTAGGTAAGGTCTTTGTTGTTATTTCTTTGGGCAACTTTAAAATATATTTCTTTCAATGCTAACTTTCCCTTCCTCTGAAATACTGCCTTTTTTACCTTTAAGGAAATTGGTGGTAGTGTGTTACATTGTTTATGGAATGATAATGGCCTGAGCCATAATTTTGCAGTGTATCATTTTGAGTTTTTTTTTTTTTTTTTCTTTCTTAAAAAGTAAATGTTCTTATGGGCTGGGGATTTAGCTCAACGGCATTAAGTGCCTGCCTTGCACGTGTGTGGTCGTGAGTTCGATCCCTGGTACCGATAAAAAACGAAAAAGACAAAAAAAAAAAAAAAAAAAAAAGGAAAAGAAAAAGAAAAAGTAAATGCTCTTATAATGCATTTTACATTTGAATGTGGTTTTATGAAATTGGTGAGTCTTGATATTTAAAAAACTCTCGGGCTGCATATTTGAGGACTTGTGATATTCATCCCGAGATAAAAAAAGAGGCTTAATTTTAATAGTGATTCACTGTAGAGCCATGACTACTGTTCCAATGAGTAAATATATTGCTGTACTCCCACCCCATAGTTAATGTGTCTTAACTACATATGGCATAGTCAAGAGATTAAGGCTTAATTCACTTTTTAAATTTTTTTATTTTATTTTTTACTTTTTTGGTACCGGAGATAGAACTTATAACCTTGCACTTGCCAGGCGAGCATTTAAGCCGCTGAGCTAAATCTCTGGCTTGCTTTTATTTTTTTATCTCAACCCAGTCATAAGATTCAAGTTATAATGATGGTCTGCCTATTTCAGCTTACAAATGTTGTTTGATGACAGCTGCCCAAATATGTTATGTTGGCATGGTTACTTAGGGTAGATAATAGTGATAATTGCTATAGTTTTATTTTAATCTTATTTAGAGAATATTTATTACTTGAGGTATTTGTTGTATTTCCTATAGTTAAAGGTTTTTAACAGCTTTTTTCATTATGTTAAAATGAAATTGATGCATACTCTTAGTAAGTCTTATATTTGGTCCTCTATTTCTTAAACAGAGACTCTACAGGGGCAGGTAATTCACTGGTCCACAAGCGGTCTCCTTTACGTCGAAACCAAAAGACCCCAACATCCTTGACCAAGCTGTCTTTACAGGATGGACAAAAAGCCAAAAAGCCAGCATGTAAATTTGAAGAGGGTCAGGATGTCCTAGCTAGATGGTCAGATGGCTTATTTTATCTTGGAACTATCAAAAAGGTAAGTTACTTTCATAGAATATATTTCTGCTGTCTTTTGTACTAAATTTTCATATTTAATTTCATATTTAAAATTTTAAGGGATCACTGTAAATATATTCTTTTGTTTTGCAGATAAACATATTGAAACAGAGCTGCTTCATCATATTTGAAGACAGTTCTAAATCCTGGGTTCTCTGGAAGGACATTCAAACAGGCAGGTGCTACTATCTTGGTTGAACATGATTTATAGTGAAATTTGATTTTCTTCAACTTGGCATTTTCTGATATTGTCCTTTGAATATATTGCATGGTAGTAACTCAGTATCACATTTGAGTAATAGTTTAAAAAATTATACTGCATGCAAAATTATTCCTTTTTCTTTTGTAAGCATGAGTGTGTCTATTATTGTAGGATTGAGACATGCTATGTTTCTGATCCTTTTTATTCACTGCGTGGCCCTTAAGCTTTTTTTTTTTTTAATCTTCTGTAAGTTCTTACAGGTTTTATTTAGTTCTTTTGTTTTGTCCCTCATTCCTTTCCTCCCTCTCTCATCTTTTCTTTTAAAAGAGCAGGAAAGAAAACTATTTTGCATAAAGTTAGAAAGTTGTGAAAAAGAGTCCTATCCAATAAGTTCCTTACGTGGTATGTCCGATGAGTCATTATAGATAATACATGTGTTAATAAATTAATTTTATCAGACCAGGATTATAGCTCAGCAGCACAAGTGTCTGCCTGATAAGTATGAGGTTGTGAGTTTGATCCCAGGTACCCCCCCAAATTACTTAATTAATTTTATCTGGTAAGATACTTTTAGGTTCACATAAAAAAATACAACCATATTAGTAGTCATAAAACATGGCAGCATCATAGCAAGGAGGTACATATAATATTAAGTTCATTACATACATTTAAAAGGCTTTGTAACAATGTATTTTTGTTTTGTGAAATGATACACAATACTCCTGCATTATGATTGATACTGTAAATTTCTGTTTGTATTACTTTTCTAGTTGCATTAACTGCCTAAAAATGTGTATACTCTTTAATGTCTAATAAACTAGTAGTTTATTTATAAATAATTTTAAAAAGCTACATGTTTTTACTATAGCTTTATGTTAAACAACAACAGAAAAATTGGTATTTCTAAGATGAAAAGGACCAAAACTTTACACTCAGATATCTTTTGTAGTAAGGGAGATTAGAAGTCCACTAAGCTAATCAGGAAGGTTTTTGTAAACTTGATAGTTAAAACAGATTTACCTTGCAGATAAATTTTATTCTCCGATTCCTCAGAATTGTTTCTTGATGAGAATACATATTGTTTATGGATTCAGTATTCATTTTTTCTGAAAAACTAACTTTTTTCTTCATTGGTCTGTGTGGTTTAGGGGGAGACATCTGTGCCAGGCTAGGCAGTTATTGCCTTTCCATAGAATTACAGATTTGGAATTAACAAGTCCCAGGTTTAGCCTGGTTATTTGTATTGGAATCATAAATCCAGAAGCTGAGAAGAGGCCCTATCCTAACAAGTGTACCAGAACCAAGTATAGTGAAGGGAATTAATATTTTTTTCGAAACTAAAACAAACAAACAAAAATATAAAGGACAGGTAACACTTAGTAACCTGTGTTTCTCAAAATAGAAGTGTAATGAAGTAAATTTGGTTCTTTCCACTAGATGGAATATTATGCAGCTATTAGAAGTTATAATTTTGAAAACTGTGTAAAATACTTTTGATAGAAGAAATATAAGGTAGTGTTCATGAAAGGAAGCATCTCGTGGTGGAAAGAACATGGACTCTGGCACATCTGGGTTTGAATTTTAACCTTGATATTTTCTAATTGAGGGTCCTTCGATTAGTTACTTTAATTTATCTAGGCTTATGATCTCTGTGGATGTTACCTATCTAATACATTGTAGAATTGCGCAGAGTGTCAAGAGTCTGACATAATGCTTGGCCTACAGCACAAAATTGTAAATATTTATTAGTATTTATTAAAAAGTATGTTATTGTTTTGACTGTACTAAAATAGGCAAAAAGGAAATACTGAAAATAAAAGTTGCGTTAGGGTGATAAAATCCTAGTCTTTTTTTAATGTTTGTAGAATAAAAATTTTTAAAAAAAGATTTGCCATAAAAATATACTTAATAAGTAGAACTCAATTTTTGTTGTAATGCAGTTCTGTTAGGGTACATATAAACTGTATTTCTAGATTTCAGAGATGAAATAATACATGATCAACTTCTTTTGTAAATTAATACTATGCAGTTAGAGAGATAAGTAATCATTTACATATCTTTCTTGCCCTTTTCCTTTAATCTCATGATATTAGTTAGATATGTAGGATAAATGAAAGCATGCATATATGTAGCTGTATATTATGCAGAATAGCTCTAGTGTTCACAAAACTTCCTTTATTCTCCTGTTGTCTTCTAAGTCATGAGAAGTAAGAGGTGCTGCTTGAGTACAATTTAAGTTATGCCTGCTGCAGAAAAGCAGATTAAATTATGAGTTTAAATCATTCTGGTATCTTAAGTTAAAGTTGTGAAGAACAGAGGGAGCCAAGGAAGAGCATTTTGTGTGCAGTACTTTGTATAACTTTGAATATTATGATGACAAACAGGCTAGTCACTGAATCATAAAAGCAGTTTTGTTATATGGACTTCTTTATGACTTTTTAAATGTGTTTTAAATATTTCAGGAGCCACTGGAAGTGGGGAAATGGTCTGTACAATATGTCAAGAAGAGTATTCAGAAGCTCCTAATGAAATGGTTATATGTGATAAATGTGGCCAAGGTAAAAAACTGATTTTTTTGTTTGTTTTAATTTTGTGGAAAACTTTTGTTATAATCTTAGTCTTAAATTTTTAAAAAATAAGTTGGGCATGGTGGCTCACGCCTGTAATCCCAGCACTTGGGAGACTGAGGCAGGAGGATTGTTGTGAGTTCGAGACCAGCCTGGGCTACATAGTGAGCCTAAGGCCAGTCTGAACTGCATAGCAAGACCCTGTCTCAAAAAAAAGAAAAAAGTTTTTAAAAAAATAAAATAAAAATTATTTTGAAAAGTAATTTCCTTTAAAAATACAATTAATAAATAGAACTTCCAATTTTTTTGCAGGGCAGTTATTTTAGGATGCATATACCCTGTATTTCTAGATTTCAGAGAGAATGAGCCTGTTGAAGATTAATGATTAAAAATAATTTACATTTGTAATTTGAAACTTTTATCCTGAGTTTTTTCATCAATTTAAAATATTTTAATAGAGGAAACTAGTACTAGCATGCCTTCTTGAAATTGTATTTTGCTGTATTTATTAATAAAATAGAATTTGCTTTATGCTTTTTTTTGATATTAAGGCTATCATCAGTTGTGTCATACACCTCACATTGATTCCAGTGTGATTGATTCAGATGAAAAATGGCTCTGTCGACAGTGTGTTTTTGCAACAACAACAAAGGTATCTTTTTAAGTGTTTTAGGCTAAGACCTAAGTAGAATTTGAAAGGCATTGTCAATGATTGTGTATATTGAAAGTTTCTTTGAATGAAATAAACATTGTTTCTGTAAACATTCTTAGAAAGAATTGTTATTTATTGTTTGAGTAATAATACTTAAGTGACTTGCATTTATTCTTATCCTTTATGATAGTGGCATGGGAATTAGGGAAATAGTATGAAAGAAGACAATAAAATAGATGTTTAGACAGTTTGTGATGTGATAGAAATTTAGAGTAGAGATTTTTTTCACAAGTATCAGGCATTTTTAAATTGTAGAATTGTATTTGAAATTTCATCAATCACTTTAAAAATAATTTTTCCCTTTATTGTATAGAGAGGTGGCGCACTTAAAAAAGGACCAAATGCCAAAGCATTGCAAGTCATGAAGCAGACATTACCCTACAGTGTGGCAGACCTTGAATGGGATGCAGGTCATAAAACCAATGTCCAGCAGTGTTACTGCTATTGTGGAGGCCCTGGAGAGTAAGTAAATGCAGCTATTTAATGCTATTTAAGTAATTTTTGTTTGTTTTTCCTATTGATCGTGTTATAGGAGTGGTAGAGTTACACATACATAAAAGTATTTGTAAGAAGAGTAAGGTGGGAAGTATAACATTATTTCACACACAGTTACTTATTTTGGTTTGGATTACATCCATATGTTAAAAAACTTTACAAGATTGCTTGTTCTAGAAATTTAAAATAAATTGTAAATATTCGTGTACCTTATAAAATAGTTGTATAGATGGGAAACATTTGCTGTAGATGTTCCATTGCATATTTAATATGGTTGACCATTTAGAAATTGGTACATTTAATATTGCTATTTGAATGAAAGAGTACCATGCAGATTTTGGTTAAACTGCAGAATCAAGGTAGGATATTTTCATAGAGTGTTTAGAGAATGTAACTTAACTTCTTCCTTTATATTCCATTTCTTATGAATGTGTACATACTGTTTTCAGAAGAAACTATTAAATTTTTTTTTAAGTTTTTAATTGGAATAATCCTGATACTAGAGATCTGTAATAGGAATCATATCTCTTCATGAGGCTTGGTAACCACAAAACTCTTTAACTAGACTCTTTAAACCTTAATCAGGATATTTGAAATTTGTTGTGTACACAAGCCAGTGATAGACCGTGTGTGTTTTGTTTTTTCATTAGTGCTTTACAGATGTTTTAATATTCACCAAACTGTTACCATTATTGCCTAGTAAAATTAGAAAAGGAAATTGTTTAAGTTGATCATTGTGGTAAATTATATTTGCATAATAAAGATATCATTTTATTCATCTTTATCATTAAAAGTTTGCTAAATCAGCAAGCCACAGTTCTTATTAAGAATATGCTAAAATTTAAATCTAACTTTTGATCACTGGTATTAGTTCTGCATTTGAAACTAAACACATAGGTTTTATCTGTGATAGGTGGCAACTCATAAAATATTTCAAGTCAAAAGTTTTATTTCTTATTTCCATGACCCATGAAGCAATAATGTTCCTTTTTTGCAGATTAAAAAATTTCCCATCACTAGTTAACATTCTTTATAACATGGTTTCCCTGTTTTTTTACCTTCTAATGAAATGTATCATGATTGGAAAAATGTAGTGTTTCCAGAAAGTCTCATAAAGAATGTAAGGACCTTAAGGAGCTAGTAGAGTACAGTAGTAGGCATTATACTTTTAAAGCTGCTTGAAATTTATTAGTTGTTTAGCTTGTCATATTCTTTGGGTTCATGTTGGATTTGTAGGTGGCCAAGTAATGATTTTAGTTCTTTTGAGTTTTTTCAATTATATTTTTATTAATAGATATTTGCAGTACATAGTGATTTAATTCTCTGTGGGGAGTGGAGAGCAGGGAATTGAGATATATTGTGTGCATGTACTAATTCCTCACAATCAATATAATTATGTACTGTAAACATGTAACATGGTATAGCCTATTATGTAGTTTTTGATAAAGATACCATGAATACTTAGAAATTAATCTTTCTTCTTCATTTAATTTCCAGTATTTTGTTTAAAGCATTCAAAATAGGTAGAAGTAATTATAAACATTAGGCAGATCTTTCATTTTTTAAGACTGCAAGGAAAGGAACTGTGTCTGATACTGTTAACATTATAGCTTCAGTTTGTAGCTGAATACTTAGAAAGTAGTATTCATAAATGACTATCCTGATCTAGAGGATATTTTGATCATGTGAGATTTAGTCTGACATGATAAATACAAATAAAATCATATTGTTAAAACAAATACAGGGCTTCCTGCCTTTGCCTATATATGCTTGTATTTACAGATAAAGAAAAGATACCATGTGAAAACTATACTAATTGAAAAGAGATGTCTTCCTTTGATGAAGGTTCAGTTTTAGCAGCCTCAGCTATCTCAAACAGATCTGTAGACCTGTATAATGAAACAACTAAACCTGCCACAAAGCAAGATTTGTATACTTGATAGTTTTAGATTTTTTTTTTTTTCTTTTGTACCAGGGATCAAACTCAGGACCTTGCACCTGCCAGTCAGGTGCTTATACCACTGAGCTAAATCCTTGGCCACTTAGATTGCATTTTTAAGCATGTTAACTTTATAAATTGCAACACTTGTTTTTATTATACTAGACTAGATTGATAACAACACAGTATAGATAAAATTAAATGTTCATAATTGAAAGCTGCCTAAGGCTGTGTGGTATTTGGAGCAAACTGTTTAGCCTCTGAGTCTTAACTCTTCTAGGGTGTAGAAAATTAACTTGAAAAAAATTCCAGGCTTAGAGCAGGTTGTGTTAGTGGAGACCTCTAGCCCTAGCTTCTCAGAAGGCTGAAGATAGGAAGATAGTTTTGGCCTAGGAGTTGCTAGCTTGGGAAACACAAACCCCCATCTGACAAGGAGGGTCAAGAGAGCTGGGCATGGAGAGTAACTTGGTGAAATATGTACTTAGCATGTGCAAGGTTCTTGCTTTGATCTCTAGCACTACCAAGGGGAAAAAATAAATCACAGTTTTGTGCTCTGTGAGATCTTTCACCAGTCTAGTATAGAGGCCAGGAATTTTTGATTAGAAATAGATAGTATATCAAGAGCTTATAAATCTCTAAAATAAAAAAGTAAAAGAGGATATACAAAAGGCAAATATTAGAAACTTTCTTGGGAAAGAAAAAAATCAGCACTAAGTACAGTAGAAATGTAATACTTCAAAGAGAACTGTATTCTGACTTTTTGGAGTGGGTATGGGAAATGAACTCATGACCATTTACTTGTCAGGCGGTCTCTTGTGCTGCTGTGCTAAACCCCTGGCCTCTAGAATTGTATTCTGGACAATGCCACTTTGTTGTTTTTTAAAAAAAACCTTTTTAAATAATCAGAAATAGTATTTTAATTTTAACTTTTTTTTTTTATAGTTGGTATTTAAAGATGCTACAGTGCTGCAAATGTAAGCAATGGTTTCATGAAGCTTGTGTGCAATGCCTTCAAAAGCCAATGCTCTTTGGAGATAGGTAGGAAAACATTTGAATTTTACTGATTATTTTTTTAACTTTTTAAATTGTGATCATTTGCAGTTTCAGATTTCTAAAAGTAGTTTTAACTGATTTATAAAGGGGTCATTTCAAAGGGAAAATACTGTATGATATATTTAAAATACACATAACTTTTGTCCTTTTTGTATTATTCTAGATGGCTTTTCTCCCTTTGCTTCCTGGAAGCTGTTAAGTACTATCAGTGATTACAGTTAATTACTTCCATTGCCTCACACTAGTCTAAACTATTCTCTTTGGTACTTCCCTTTAAAAAATTTTAAAAGAATCAAACAAGAAATGACCAAAAATACAATGAATGCTATTTTTAAAAAGCAGTTATTACAGGAAATGACACCTTGTAATTACTTCCTCTCAAAATAACTCCCCCTCAATTTGAACACATTTATTCCATCCTTGCCACTTTCTGAAACAGTTCTGGCAGTTGTCTGGAAATGTATTTACAAGGTGTTTTAAAACATCTGGTGAATCTGCTGCCACATGTGGTCTAGTAGAAAGGCAGGCTTGTGAAAAAGTTACAGTATATCTTCATTTACTTTATTCACCAGATAAGGCATTATGTGACTTCTGTCAGTTTCACAAAGGTCAAAATGACTATGAAAAGAAAACAGTTGATTTGAGACGTCAAGGTAACCATGATATTGCTACCAAAGATACTCATTGTCTTAGTTACTTTCTTGTGGCTGGGACAAAATATTCGACACCCACAAGTTTAAGGAGAGGCTTAGCTCATAGTTTGTAGAAGTTTCATTCCATAACGACTGGCTGCAAGGCCATGGCAGAGGACTAACAGTTTGTGGCATGATAGGCAGGAAGCAGCAGATCTGCTTTTTTATTCCATTCAGGCTACCAGCCTTTTGGATGGTGCCATCACAGCCAAGGTAGGCTTAACCTCTTTAGTAAGTTCTATCTCCTACAACCAGGAAGAATTATGCTAAACCAGCCAGTGGACTGATCCAGTACTACATAACCTATGATCCAGTTACTTCCAGAAGCCCCACACATGTGGATGTGGACTTTTGAAGGGACATTTAGATGTAAGCCATAACATTGATAAAGGACTTTAAGAGTGGCTTCATAGAATGACAAGAATGAGAGATTAAATGTGTTCGAAGCAAGGGAGAATATTTTGGGATGGGGACTTATGGTGTTGTGTCCCTTATAATTTTAAAAATTGATGCACATACCATTATTTTAGGTTGTACTTTAAATGACTGTGGATTAGAGAAGGCACAGGACATTTTTTACAGAACTTAGATACAAACAATTTCTAGCCAGGTGTAGTATTACATGCTACTCAGGTTTAGGCATGAAGAGCAATTTAGGGAGACCCTGCATCAAAATAAAAAGGGTTGGGAATATGTATGGCTTAGTGGTAGAGTACTTGCCTGTCATGCACAAGACCTTGGGTTTAATTTCTAGTATTGGTAAAAGGAAAAAAAATCTAAAATCAGATGTTTTCTGTATTATGATCATCTGGAATAGCAGCAAGCTCTAAAAAGAAAAATTTAAGATGAAGCTTTCAGTTGTCCTTAAAAAACCTGAGTTTAGACCTTACGTGTCACTTCTTAAAGGGGCTACCTTCTCTCCTTTGGACTTACTTTAGCAAGTTATTAATGAGAATTGAATGAAACTGTGTAAATGATGCAAGCATTATAATGCTTTGCACACACAACCATTAGTAAACTCTTGATACATATGAGTCTCTGTGTACTCCAGAGGTCTCTAATGGTTGAATATTGTCCTTTACCTCCAGATGTGAACTGTTTCCGTATTAGTTGTTAAAAAAGAAAATGCTTACATTGCATATAGTATCAATTAAAACTATATTTTACTTCAAATATGAGTCCTTATGTCAACTGTAGGATATTGATTTGCTGACTATTCACTGTAATTGTTAAATAATTTTATGTATGTACTTACTCAATGTAAAATTTTGCCTTTTTTCTTCAGATTTTATACATTTATTTGCTCTGTCTGCAGTTCTGGACCAGAATACCTCAAACGTCTACCATTGCAGTGGTAAGCATGGACATTTCTGTTAATGGAAAAAATATTCTTAAACCTGTGAAGTGAAACCCCTGTACACATACATACTTAGCATAAATAAAACCTGATTGTTCTTTAAGCCTACTTTTAGTTCTTTTGTTTTTCCTCAAGCCTATGTCACCTTTACCAATGATTATCCACTTACTGATGAATTAATAAATATTCATTATTGAATGGCATAAATGTAGTTTTCAGATGCCTCTTAGATCTTAACATTCTTATTTGTGTTTCTAGTTTTTTGTGTCTTTAGGACATCATCTAGTAAAAAGGGCATAGATTAATTATGACAGCTCCATTTTCAGTATAGTTAATTGTTATGTGTGGGAATTATGATGACTTAATTTTAGTGGAGACTTACAAAATACAAGATTTACAAAACTTTTGTTTCACATATTTTAGGATCACATAAGTTTCTTTTTTTTGTACCGAGTCGAACTCATAACCTTGCACTTGCTAGTCAGGCACTGTGCTACAGAGGTGTATCCTAGGCTCAGATAAGCTTTAATTTATGAATCAGATAAAATTAAACTTGGTATAGTATTATTTATTCTGTAGCGTATATGTAGTTGTAAAAACACAGTACTGTAGGGGCCAGGGGTTTAGCTCAGTGGAGTAAAGTCCCTGCTTGGCAAATGCGAGGTTGATAGTTCAACCCCCAGCACCAAGAAAAAAACAAAAAAAACCCCCAAAAGCAAAAAAGCCACAATACTGAATTTAAATTACTTTCTGTTGAAGTATCATTCTCTTCAATACATTTTAAATTTACAGTTACTGTTCAGGTTAAGTAAGTGTTTAATAATGTTTTCTAGTTTTTATCATATATAATATGTTATATTATAAATATGATTTAGGATATTGACCCTCTAGCCATTTTAGCATTTTACTTTGGACTTTTAGTTGCTGATTTTAGAATGTGTATCATTTCTTAAGCATAAACAAACACATTGTTCTCATGTATTTTGATTATTTTTTAATTTCAGGGTAGATATAGCACACCTATGCCTTTACAACCTAAGTGTTATTCATAAGAAGAAATATTTTGATTCTGAACTTGAGCTTATGACATACATTAATGAAAACTGGGATAGATTGCACCCTGGAGAGGTAGGTATTTAGTATTAACTTCATTAACTAGTCAGTGGCTTTATAATTTTATTTATGTAGAACAGGAACTAAGACATAAGCATAAATCACATAACACAAGTAGAATTTTATTTTCATTTCTTAGGTGAAATGTCTTTGATAATTGTATCAAGTCCAGCTTGAAAACTGTAGATAGAGGAAGTAAAATACTACATTCTTCTATATTCTGAAGTGAGAATCATTGGAGTTAGAAAAGTGGGAGAAATCCTTTGTGTTGAGTGTCTTGTGTGTCCCGTCCCCCCCCCCCCCGAGTTTCCTATAAACTTAGAGCTGTATCCAACATCTTTCTGTGTGTATTGATACTTCCTTACAAATCTCTGATTTCTGGGAATGGTGGGATCCAAAAATAGGATTAGAATAATGAGTTACAGAGTGAAACTAGCTGAGTTAGAGTTTATCCTTTTTTCTGCTATCTCATTTTGCTTATTATTCGTGAAGTGTAACCACTATGCTCATTTTTCAAACTTATCTTTTTTAATAAAAGGAATATAAAAATAATTCATGTTCATTAAAAAAGATTGTGAAGCTAAGCATAAAGAGGAAAAACTCACTATAGTTACCTTATTTTTAGCATTTATTCAGAATTACTAAAATATTAGATAGGTAACTACTCTAATGTGAAATTTTTTTTTTTGGTACCAGGGATCGAACTCACAATTTAATCTCTAGCACCAGAAAAGCCAACCAGCCAATCAAATAAATAGTATGTCAAGAGTATTTGGAAATTTTTGAAGCTGTAATTATGGGCATCCATGAGAATATAGTGATATATACATTTATTTAGTTTGTGTATCAGTCACATAAAATAAAAAATTACAGGATATAGTACTCAAGGATATCTAGGATATTTTGAAATTTAATTGACATAATATGTTCTGAGTATTAGATATTGAACTACAGTACTGATTCTTACTCCGTTTTTTGTTAAATGTCTCTTAAATGAAGTTTGATAAAAGGTATATAACTTAAGAATCTGATTCATTTTAGTAAGAAAAAATAGGAATGAAGCTCTAGTATTAGCTATAGTATTATGATCATCTTAATAGTTAATGCTGTAATACATTTGCTTAAAATTAATAGTGAGATTCTTCCAGCACTTCATATGCATTTACATCGGATAAAATCATACTTACTAGTACATTTTGTTTCACATGATGAAATTCTGCAATAGCTATTTGATGTGGATAGAAGGTACACAACACACAAATTGTATTTATTTAAATGCTATTGTATTTATTAAACTTTAAACATTAAAACTTTATAATGAATCTATTTTTAAATAAAATCTTTTATGAAGTTCACTATTCCTTAAAACTGAATTTCTGATACATCATATTAGAACATTTACTTTAGCAAATATTTTCATTAATTGCACTTGTAAAACTAATGTCTTAGATATAAGAAAAAATGGGGCTTGGAATGCAGACTGCATTAGATGCAGATTAGATTAGATGCATGCATGGCACCCTGCGTTGCATCCTTAAAAGCTAAGCAAAGAGAAAGGAGGAAAAGGAAAAAAACTAGAAAAATTAAATTTATACAGTTTACATTAAATGATTTGTAGTCAATTCTTATATTTATTTCTCTGCATTAAAATAAGAAAAGAATTTAGGTTTTTTTGGTTAGTTATCTCTTCTGCAGACTGGTTACTGATAGATTGAGTTCAAGTTTTTAGTTCTGTTATTAATCTTTTACATCATATGGTATTTATACCTGGATCTTAGGGTAAGAGTTTAATAATAAAGACACAAAATTTGTGCCAATCTGTAGTATATGTTCAGTGTTTTTATTGAGTTTACTTTTAAATATGAAATAAACACAATAAAAATAATAGATCACCCAGATGATTTGATTAGTAAATTTTTGGTTAGCAGAACTTGCATTGCAAATTGAATTTTGTTTCTGAACTCAAGTTAGCAAAAATTGTTTTTTTTTCTTGCTATAATGCACTGTTAATCACTTTATTATGTAGAAAATAGTGTATGATAAATGTACTAATACATACAGACATACAAATACAGTCATTCGTTGTTTAAAAACTTGGTTATATTTCTGCAATTGGGTCATTAAATGAGTTGGTTGCTAAATAAAGAATTGTATATGGTGTGTACATTTTTCAAAAAAAGAACATTACAACTTCATGAGTTTGCTTTTATTTACGTAACTTACATGTAGTGCTATAATGTTAACAGAACATAAAATTACAGTACTGTACTATACAGCACAGCCAGCAAGAATTATAGTACTATGAAAAGAAAGTATACTGTTAAAAAAAATAGACATTGAGACTCTATAAATGTACAGAATTCTACAAAAAATGAAAACTGAATCGTAAGTTTGAATAGTGGTTGAATAGGTAGGTCATTAAATGAGGAATGTTTGTATATACATATATACATGCATACTCATACATGTTTTGGTTTTTTTGAGACAGGGTCTTGGTGTATGGCAAGGTTGGCCTTCAACTCACTATGTAACTGAAATTGGCCTTGAACTTGTAGCTGTCTTCTTGCCTCACTCTCCCAAATATGTGCTGGGATTACAGGTGTGTGCCATCACACCTGGTTTTGTTTATATTTGATCATTGAGTACCTTGGAATACTTGTCTTGAACATAAATTCTTATACATTATATAGGCACTTGCTTTAGAAATTTCTCTCAAAGATACGGAATTTCCTCCCGTGTGTGTGTGTTGTGTGTGTGTGAGAGAGAAAGAGAGATGGGAATTAAATTCAGAGCCTTGCACTTGGAGGCAGGTACTGTACCATTCCCCTGGCCCTTTCCTCCAGTCTTAAATGGAAAGAAAAACAAATCTTGTGATAATGTAAAAAATTAAGCAGGGCGTGGAGATGCATGCTATATGTGCTTGGGAGGCTGATGTGGGAGAACTGCCATGAATTCCAGCCCAGCCTGTGTTACGTATGGAGACATTATCTCAAAAACGAAAAAAATCAAGAAAAATTTTATTTAAAAAGTAATCCACTGAGGATTATTTATTTTTTGGCAGTGGTCCAGATTAAACCTGTGCTGCTTTAACATTGAGCCTTATCCCCAGTCTTTTTATTTTGTGTCAGTGTCTTGCTTTAAAGGAGATATAGGTTCATAGGAAAATTGAGAGGAGGATACGGAAATAGCCTGTTTACTGTTTCCATACATACAGTATATCGCTTCTACTATTGTCAACCTCCCCCACCAATGTAATGCGTTGGTTACAGTTGATGAACCTACATGGATACATCATCATTCAAAGCTGCGACTTACTTTAATAGCTAAAAGAAGTTTTCAAAATAATAAATTTCTTTTGGAGATAACACTTTCCTACTGAAAGATAAGTTTAACTTTGATGTATATCTTTTTTTCTTAGTTGACTTTTTTTGTGGGCTTGACGGGAAGGGAAACTAAAACTTGTAAACCATGTTACAAGATGATAGTTTTATGTCATGTTTTCTCATGTGGTTTTTGTACATATGTATTTGTGACATGGTGCCTCAATGATTATCATATAGATTGATTGTAGTTTGAGGAACTGCTGTGCTTTGAAATAATCTTTGAGATAATAAAAACACTAGCAGTGTAACATTTGAGAACACAATAAATATATTTTAGGTTTTTTATTGAAAGGAAAGGCCAATGTATCAGATTACTTTGGAGACTTTAATACAAAATAGTAATACTTTTTGAATTCTGTTGTCTTAATGTGATTTGAAATCGTAGTTCTCTAATGTCCCACTTTCTGTTTACTGTAGTCTTCAAATTTAAAAATTCTCAGATTGATAAAACAGAATAATATAGCCTGTTTTAATAGGAATGGGGTGAAAAGCATAAGTAAAACTGAGTAACATGGTAGAAATATTTTGGTTAGAAAAAAAAGATGCTGTAATGTTTTTAAATGAAAATAACAAGAAATCTGATTAATAGTATTTCAGACCGAGTTTTATACATTAGCACGTGACATGTTGGTTGTCAAATAACTTGTAAAATGTGTGAGATTAGTGTTGAGAGGGAGGAATAAAAGTATTTTTTGTGTTGGAGATATAAACTTCAAGGTAGGAAGTCTAGAATTGTGATGGTGAACTTTTTAGACCTTTTAATGATACAGCCCGCTGAGGCACCTGTCCCATAGATTTGCCAACCACTGGCCACTAATATGAGACTCTTCTAAAGTAGTTGATCTGATTTACATTATTTATTAAAGATAATGTTTACATTGCAAAATACAGAAAGGGAACCTTTAACATTTTTATGTGAGTTTAAATATATAGTCCTTTGCAAAATAGTCACAGAGTTTGGAAGATACTGACATAAAATTGTGATAAATCTAGGGAGTAAACATTGAAAGAGAATTCATTTTGATTTTGAAAAAGTAATGGTGAGTGGGTTTTAGAAATTACGTAGCCAGGTTTTTGTTGTTTCAGCAAAATGTGAGGACTTTCTAGAGCTATGATTTGTGAAGCTAAAAAGCAAAGAAAATAAGAGACTTATTGCAGCAAATCATATTAAATACCCTGTTTTCTTTTTGACATGGTTAACAATGCTGGTTTATCAAATGTGGCCCTCATAGATATAATGTAACTTGATTTCATATAAGGTACAGAAATGTGAACTTACTACAGTGAAAATTTATTGCATTTGTATGGAGTTGTTCTTAAGGGATACTAATGGAAGGTCACAGGGGTGGGTGTTTGTCTCTGCTCAATTCACAAAAGATGTCAGTCAAGAAAAAAGACCACCTAAAATATAGGAGCTAGAAACAAAATCAAATTAGTAACAGTTACAAAGTTCTTTAAGGCATAACCACAGTAGTACAGAGTATGAGAGTATACTTGTTTTGATAGCAGTTCATTTAGTAAGTGTTCAGACTTGGGGGTGAGAACAGAGCAGAAGAAAGATCAAATTAACTAGCCCAAAGTTTAGTGTGAAGTAATCATGTGATGTGATTAATAAAAATTTTAACGTAATCTCATACTTCAACATGATAGTAGCTTTTAAATATTTGAAGAGCTGTTTTGTAAAATAGAGCATACTTTAGAAGGGTTAAATGACAATTTGCCTACTTCCAGAATAAGCTTCTTTAGTAGGTGCATTACTGAATGACTAGTTCCCTTTTAAAAGAGATTTTAGTCTTAGTGGTAGGTTGAATTAGATTTAGAATTTGTTTCTTTTGAGATGTAAAGTCTCATTGTTTTCATTTTTTAAGTAGAAATTCTGAGGCTGAGGCTTAGTAGAGTGGTAGAGAGACCATGTGTGAGGCTCTAGATTCAGTCTTCAGCAGAGAAACAAGATTCTCCATCATTTTATACCTCAGAAATTTCAGTGGAGGAAATGGTATAACATAACACTTGAGGGCTACGTTTCATTTGTTCATCCTGCTGTCTGTCCGTTTGTGTCTTGTGTGTCTGCCTCTCTATATTACTGCAGTGAACACATTGGCACAAAGTGGGCTCTTACTAAATAATGACAATGGAATTAATGTCACACATTTTCACGTTTTAGCTCTTTAAGTAGCCAGAGGGTTTTGAGTAGTTTATTAAAACTTCATGTTTGTTGACTTACCTATAAAATAAAGTTGGAGTAGGTGACATTTAAGTCTCTTAGTTGCAATATTCTTTTTGGCAGATTTATTTGTTCTTTTCCTTAAAACAGTTCTGAGGCTTGAGAGTTTAAATTGGTAAAGAACATACTGGTATAATTATAAAAAAGCAAACTGATATTTTGGAACTTTTTTAAAGAAGCCTTTATGGCTTTAATTCATGATGGTCCTTTCATAATTTAGAACTGTTTTGTTAATGGGCCCCTGTGTTTAAACTTTGAAGAGCTGATATGGGAATGGGTGTATGCCTGTAATCCCAGCCCTCAAGAAGCTGAGACAAGAGGATCAGTGAATTTGAGGCCAGCCTGAATTGCATAGTATAAAACTCTAACCTATGGAAGAAACTAGGAAGAAAAGGAAAAAAACAAACAAACTCAAAAACATACAACTTTGAAGAGATAGGAAGATGTCTGAGAGAAAGCCCAATTGTAATAAAATGGAATTATTTCCTAGAATTCAGTATGTACATTTTAAAATAGGTGATAATGACAAAAAATTACTGAGTCAAATATTTAGGACCAGTTAAAGCCTATAGTTGTTTTAAAAATATTTCTTTGTCCATTTTTACAGTGTAGTTTTACATTGTAGGTAATTATTCATGTTAATATTAGAGGCACTGGGAAATTAAATCCTTTACATTACTTTTTATGCCTTTGCCTATAGAGAGGAGCTTTCATAGTAAATGTTAAAATAACTCTAATAATTATGTCCCTAAGTATAGAATTTTTAAAACATTGAAAAACAACTAATACTGAAATGCATTTTTTTTTGAAATCCATTTTTATAGTGTTTAGATTTGTATTTCTTTTACAGGCATATTTTCTATATAATGAACTAATAAAATAGTGCAGGATTTATGTTCTTGTTGAGAAAATAAGCCTTGAGAAATTAAATGGCCCTGTGTTGGTCACATACCTGTTAATCAATGAGGACCTGAAGTTAGGACTTAGGTATTCTACAAGTTAGTGTCTTTTCCTCTGCATCATATTACCTCTATATAGCACTTGTATATTACTAATTGATGAAATTGTAGCACATTAAATTGTTTCTTGATACTTCACAGCTGGCAGACACACCAAAATCTGAAAGATACGAGCATGTTCTGGAGGCATTAAATGATTATAAGACCATGTAAGTTGATTTATTTATAATATGTATCCATATGAAGGAGACAGCTAATAAGTAGAAGAAATAATGGCATTATTTAAGAATTGTGGGATTGGCATATAGTTCAAGTATATGCCGTTAGAATTTTTTTTTAAATTTTGTTCTTTTTTGGTCACAGTAAAGCAGGGATTCTCAGCATTAGAGAAGTAATCCTTGGAATGGTGGGTGGGAGGCGTCTCAGTCTCTTTAGAGACACTTTGGTCTGTTCCATTAAAAAAGCACATTCAGTAATAATGTATTTCTGTAATGGAATCTTCTGAAAGTAAGATAAAAATCTTGTTAATATAGAGAATAGAGGTATTTTGGAAGTTTGAAATTTTCTGTGGATTTAAGATTAGTTATTGCCACCAGTTAATTGTAGAAAAGTTGTAATTGTCTGGGTGTAGTCTAAGATAATTAAATGATGTTATTTGACATAGTCTTACAGATAGCCCTCTTTAAAAATTGATTTATCTAAATTTCTTGAAAATATCTTCAAAGCGTGGTAGATGTTTTGTTAATGTATATGCTGACTCCAACTATTGAATTATATTTTATAATGTATTTTTATAAAAATTTTACAATCTTTGTTTCTCACAATTGCTATTTCCTCATTAAATTATGTTTCAATTACTAGTAATTAGATCTTTAAATCAGATCAACAACCCATAAAGTACCTGAGTAATTATTGTAGTAGTAAAAAATATTTTATGGGATAGTGAATTCTGAATTCCAAATTAGGGTGTCAGAAATACATCTGTTTCTATTAAAATAGAAATGGAGGCTGCCTGCTCTCAAATTTGCATTACAGTAGAAGAATATTCCGGACATTTGTTGTAACAAGGGATGTTGTATTGGAGCTAAGGTAGATGAAGGTATTTGGAAACAAGGACCATAACAACTAAAGGAAAGGGGTAACAATCATGTTTTTCAAAGGCCCAAATCTATACTCCACTAAAGTAATACTTTTCTAGATTATTTCTAATTCTATACCTGGCACACTAGACACTTGTTTTATTTTCTGGGCCTTTAGGATTGATTTCCTACTTTCACTTCTCATTCTGTCGTTTACTGTTTCTGACAGATTTTCTTTCCTAACAGATCCACTTTGAGATAGAATTCTTTTCTTAAAACTTTTTTGAGATATTTCTAACAGCTGACACTAAAACGGGAAGAATGTGCTGACATTAAAGATACTATTTTGTTCCATTCTTCCTTGCATCAACAAGTTAGATACTTTTATCTTTCCCCTTATTTTGAGTCTTACTATTTTGCCCAAACTGACTTCAGACTCCTGGGCTTGCAAGTGGTCTGCCTTGGCTTCCTGAATGCTGGGACTATAGGTGTATGCCGCTGTACTTGGCCTGCCTACCATATTTTTCTCTTGGAACCATTTGATTTCAGGGGTACTGAGCTACATTGCTAGCCAATTATTATTGCTTTTTAATTTTAACTATTACATGTTCGGAGCACATAATGATTACATTTATTATGGGGAGTTGGTACATGTATATAACACACCTTTCTGTACCCCCTTTTCTCATCTTCCCTCCCCTCCCCTCCCCTCTCCTCTCCTCTCCTCTCCTCTCCTCTCCTCTCATCTCTTCTCACCTTTTCTCTTCTGACAGGATCTCTATATGTTACCCAGAGAGCCCTGGATTACAGTTACCTCCCACCATGCTTGGTGAATGGTCCTGTTTTAGAAAGAAAAGTAGACATGTGCCTTTTTTCCCTTTTGATCTTATCCCTTTTCGCATAATATATTGTATAGTGGACTGGCAGATAAGAATCAAGGGATGCAAGGGAAATTAAGGAGCTTTTGTAGTATTAGATTATGGCATCAATATAGAGATTTAGGAGTGAAAGTTTAAAAGAGGGTCTCCTGTGTATATGTGTTGAGTTTTTAAACTTTTAGTTAATTCTTTTAAAAATTTAGGTTTATGTCTGGGAAAGAAATAAAGAAGAAGAAGCATTTGTTTGGGTTGCGAATTCGTGTTCCTCCTGTGCCACCAAATGTGGCTTTCAAAGCAGAGAAAGAACCTGAAGGAACATCCCATGAATTTAAAATTAAAGGCAGAAAGGCATCCAAACCTATATCTGATCCAAGGTAAAAGTTGATGTGTGCCTTAGTTTTTCTCTTTAACTTATTTGTAATTAAAAATGTATGTTGTTTAGTCTCAGTATATTTGAAAGTACAAGTGACAGTTAACCTTGATTTTTTTTTTTTTCCCTGTCCAATAATTTCTTTTTTAAGTAAAGTATGAAAAGTATTGGGTTGGGGATTTAGCTTAGCAGCATAAGCACTTGGAAGTGGTCGTGAGTTTGATCGCTGGTACTGGTAAAAAAAAAAGAAAAGTATTGATTTAAGTACTGACGTGCTTGTTTGTTCATTTATTTTTCATTCATTTATTCCACACATTTATCAAATTCCTCATTATCTAAGAGGAATACAATGACAAGGCAGATTTTCTTCTCATGGAATTATAGTGGGGAGTTTTACATTCTAAAGGGGAAGACAAGTGGTAAGTAAAATAATTACTGATCATGCTAATGCTATATAGGAAATGGCATGCAGTTTTATTTAAACTTTACTGGGATTTATAGAGATGGGAACTTTTTAGTTTAAAAGGGAGGCTTAAGGAAGGACTATTCATATTTGAGACTTGAATGAGAATAACCTGTGAAGAATAAAGGAAAAATACTTCAGCTAGCAAAAATAACAAGCACAAATGCCATAGCAGATATTCTAGGAATTCATAGAGGAGGAGCTTGATCATATGTAGGCTTTTATAGTCTTGCATGGACTTTGGGTTATTTTCTAAGAATGACATCAATTTAATGTACCTAATCAGGTTTAATTATCTTAGAATTATTTGGATTGTCTGTCTAGAATGGGTAGTGTAGATTAAAATAGAAACCAAGAAAAAAAATAGGCTTGCTGTTTTCTGGGTGAAAAAATGTTGCTTGTGCAGGGATAAATGATAACGGAATGGAGAGAGTATATTTGAAATGTAGGCAGTTAGATGTATAAGTCAGGAGCTCAGAGAAGAAGAGAGGTCAGAAAAAATGATATAAATTTGGAAGGTGATTTATCAAACTAAGATTGAACGAAATTTAAAGAACAAGTGAAAAAGAGATTATGGCTCAGAATGTTCCCTGATATCGTTTATAAGTTTGGAAGCTAGTTATGATGACATATGTCTGCAGTCCCAGCACTTAGGAGGCTCAAGTAGGAGGATCACCACAAATTTGAAGTCAGACTGAGGTACTTAGTTTTTCTCATTAGCTTATTTGTCTCCAGAAAAGAGGGGAAAAAATCATTAATTTGGAAGAGGTAAAATAATAGAGGCTAGATGAGTGAGATGGGGGAAAGCACAATAATGTCATAAATACCATAGAGAGAGTCTTTTAAGAAAGATGTTCTTAAACTGTTCAAGGATGCTGGTGAGAGGTGGATTAAGATGATAGAGAAATGTTTACTTTGGATACTTTTTTATTAGTGAGCTTAATGAAAAACAGTAGTTTTGGAGTAAAGATACAAGCCAGATTGGGATACATCAAAATGTTACTGAATCAGGCACTTCTCAATTTTCATATCGAAACTAGGCTTCACCTATGTGTGAGGAATAGACAGATTCAAAATAATAATGATAGGGGTATTTTCAACAATTCTGAAATACATTGGAGGAAGCAGAAAGTGTAAAGAGCTAATGTCATCTAGGCTTACGTTTTACTATGAAGGAAAGCACACAGATGGAATAGCAACTGAAGAGGAGAATGAGAACAAGTGATGGTTTTTTAAAATTAGATACAAGATACTTATGTGCCAGTAGAAGTAATCCAGTGGAAAAGATGAGATTGGCATAGGAGAAAGTGGAACTAATGGAAGACAGTATCTTTGAGAAACTGAAAAGCACAGGATCTAGAGCAGTGTTGGTGAACCTTTGAGTGATACAAACAGCCTACTTACTATAGCATCCATGCCCATAGGTTCACCACCACTGATCTAGAACCTTAATGTGAGAATAGCATTTGATAAGAAGAGAAACACCTATCTTGAAATGAGGTGGAAAAAGGAAAAGATGAGATATTCTGGTTGTATTACTGATTTCAGGAATAAGTAAGATGACTTAATTGTGTGTGGTAATTTCTGGTTTCTCTGTAGACCATGAGATAAAAGCTGGTGGTTATATAATGTGGGAATTTAAAGAGTAAATGAAAAAATATACAATAGTCATATTGGAGAGTGGAAAAATGCAAATACAAAGCATAGACAGGCTGTTACAGTATTTGAAGCTTGTGATAAAATGGATACTACTACTTTAAGCTTTTTACTTGAAGAAATGCTTATTATTCCTATTTCTTTGAAATTCTATCACTCTAATCCTTTGCTACTAGTCAATGAGCTAGTTTTTAAAAAAAGAGAGAAAATAGAAAAAGCCAGGTGTGGTGGCACACACCTGTAATACCAGCACTTGGGATCCTTAAGTAAGGAGGTTTGCTGTGAGCTTGAGTCCAGCCTGGGCTACATAGTGAGTTCAAGGCCAGTCTGCACTACGTAACAAGACTGTGTCTAAAGCCCCCCAGTTCCACAGGATTTTCTTTTTCTTATGATGTTCTTAATAGGATGCTTCATCTTGGGTAGCTGTCAGTCACCCAATAAGAGTTCAACTTTTTAAAAAGGCAGCTCAGTCTTGAGCCCTACATGTGGCTTGGTCCTTTAAGTTTGAGAATATTTTTTCTAGTATTCCTGTAGTCCTTGTAAATGTTACTTTTTAAAAATGTGTTTGTCTTCCATCTTATCCTTAACACTTGATTATTCATCTAGTTCTGTTTTGTTCTTTGTCCTTTACTTTTACCTTCTTCATATTTTCACTGTTCAACCTTACTTTGTCAGCTAGAAAGGATAGTTATCCCTAGCTTTCTTTTTGCTTCTTTTTAATCTATTATATAGTATTTTTTCTTTTCCTTGTTTTTTTTAACTGAACTTTCCTTGTTAACTTTCTCATAGCACTCTATTTTATTAGCTTGCTTGTGTATATGTCTGTGAACTTCTAAGTATATTATAAATTTCAATATTAGGAATAGTTTTGTTATCCCTATCTAATAGCTTCTTTCTAGAGTAATTTCTTTTTGATGAGTAAATTAGGTATTCTTCATTGCTACTTGCTGTCTCATTTAGAAGTACCCTTGACTGTTGCACTCTTTTCCTTTTTGTTGCCTGATACTCAGTTTTCTGTTTGAAACATCATTTTCTAAGTCTTTCTGAGTTTGCCATATTGAAGACTTCTTACCAATATGAAGGATTGTTTACTTCTTTCTCTCTATATTCTGCCACATTGGACTTCATTCTCTGTGTTAGTCTAGAACTGTGTGTGTGTGTGTGTGTGTGTGTGTGTGTGTGTGTGTGTGTGTAAATAACCTCTATTTGATAAGTTACCATAATTTTAACATTGATATTTCCATGAGGCTGACTGCTAATTTCAGCCTTTTTCAGAGTAAATTCTTGAAAACACCCCCACCATGAAGTAACAACCAAAACTAAATAAAAATGAGACTTTTAGAAGTTTTAAAATCTTCCCATCCAGTATGGATGTCTGGTTGGTTGTAATTGTTTTCTTAAATCTTTAGGAGGTATGTATATACCATAATTAAAGTAAAAATTATGTAAAAAAATTTTTTACTTAAAATTTTCACATGTAACTAAGTCAGAAATATTAAAATTAGGACAAATGGTCTGCTGTTGATTAAGTTATAATATAATTTTCATGTTATTAATATAAAAATTAAAGCATGTCTATATATGTAAAGCTATTTTCTTTTTGTTTTCTTTTATGCAGAGATTAAATACATAATCCTTTTTTGTTTCAGAGACATAAGTAATGGAATTGATAAAAAAGGAAAGAAAAAATCTGTAGGTCGTCCTCCTGGCCCATATACGAGAAAAATGATACAAAAAACTGCTGAGCCACCTTTGGTAAGAGAATATGTTGATACATGTTCTCAGAAAGGAAAGATGTTTAAAATTACTAAGAAGCTAGTATTTTTTCTGCTAACTGTAGAACTATGCTTTAAATTTTTTTAAATTTTTCCAGGATAAGGATTCAGTTTCTGAAAATCCTGCGTTGGATTTACCTTGTTCTATAGGGTAAATAGAAAGTTCTTTTTCTCTTAGAAGTCTTTTTAGGAGAAACTTTTGTTTCTATTGTGTAAAATAGTCATTACACCATGTAAAATTCTTCTGTCTCAGGATAACTGAGGGAACTGCACATTCATCCAATACCTCAGATATGGATTTCACGGGTGCTTCCAGTACAAAAGAAACTACCTCGTCTAGTATTTCCAGGCATTACGGGTAGATCTTTTATGTTCTTCTTTACTAATTTTGTTTTAGGTTGTTTTTCATGGTAATGTAATGATTGAATAACTTTTTACCTACTGAGGTTGACACAGGTAGGCTTTTTGAAAGTCTGTGTGTAGATTCATTAAGTTTTTAGTATTCATCTGAATATTTTTGCAGCTTAGAGTAAAGGTACTGTTTTTCAAATTTGTTAGGAAATTTTGTCTGTGGATATTGAAGCGGATAGGTTGTTTAATGTTTGTACTATATAGGTACATCTTGCTGAGGATCTTTTTTTTTTTTAAGTAGGAATTGAGCACATGCATGTGTTTATTAGTAAAAAAGATTTTAAACTCAGAATTTTCTTTTGTAAACTTAAAATTAGTTTTTAAGTTTTAAATGTATTTATTTATTTTTATTTTTGTCTTTTTCATTTTTATCGGTACTGGGGATCGAACTCACGACCGCCTGCTTGCAAGGCAGGTACTTATGCTGCCGAGCTATATCCCCAGCCCCAATGTTTTTAATTTTTATTCATAATACAAATTCTGCTTTATAAATTACTAAAATTTTAACAATAAAGTATAACCTGTTCATTAAATAATAATAATACTGTGAGATGTTTTTGTTCTTTTACTTTGTACTTTGCAAAACTATTTAAGTACATTATCTAATGTAATTTTTTTTTGAAACATATGTTATTTCCATTTTTAGATGAAGAATGTGACACGTGTTTGGGGTGTTTTATGACAATCCCAGTATTATATGTTAACCAACATAACAACACTGAACTACTTTAAGAAGTATGGTTTTATGGAATTTATCTGTTATAGTCTTCCTTTGGTACAAGATTCTTTGGTTATAAGATCATTGTATTTCTGTGGTAGAAAAGATCTAAGGATTATGTTTCAAGTAAACACAGAGGATAAGAAATTTCAATTTGGTCAAGTAATAGAGACAGAGGTAGACCTAGAGCAACTTGACTTCTAATTTGTGATTATTATTTGTGATTGTTATTTCTAGAACTGGTAGTAAGAAAACCTATATTTTATTTAGTATTTAAGCATTATGGAACAGTGTCTTAGTGCTTTTTCAATATTTGGGTCAATGAATGAATGATCTTTTTTTTTTTCAATGAGATAGTTGACAATGTTTGACTTAGGGCTTATTGGTAAGAATTTGCTTTATGTGATCTCCTAATTAAATATTTGCTCTGATTCTTTAAAGCTTAGTAACAGTACCCAGTTCAGGAAGAAAACACTCTACCACAGTCAGGCTTAAGGTGACAAAATCTACATACAATGAAAGCAAGTGATTGTTGATTTACATTTGTATTGGTTTGGTTGGCTTTTATGTCATCAAGGGTACATAATTAAAATAAACAGGACATACTGTTTGGACAAAGGATGCTTTCCAAACCTAGTCGACCATTTTGGCCTTTTCTATTTCATAGCTTATCTGACTCCAGGAAAAGAACTCGCACAGGTAGATCTTGGCCTGCTACAATACCACATTTGCGTAGAAGAAGAGGTCGTCTTCCAAGAAGAGCGCTCCAGACTCAGAACTCAGAAATTGTAAAAGACGATGAAGGCCAAGAAGATTATCAATTTGAAGAACTCAACACAGAGATTCTGAATAACTTAGCAGATCAGGAGTTACAGCTCAATCATCTGAAAAACTCAATTACTAGTTATTTTGGTGCTGCAGGTAGAATAGCATGTGGCGAAAAGTACCGAGTTTTGGCTCGTCGGGTGACACTTGATGGAAAGGTGCAGTATCTTGTGGAATGGGAAGGAGCAACTGCGTCCTGACTGTAGGACTGAATATTATGTTCACTGCACTCATTTTCTGTAGGTACAGCTCAAAGTCCTAAAGGAGCCTGGCTTTTACTGTCTTTCTTAAACAACAAAACAAAATATTCACAAAAGAGATAATACTAGCCTTAATGTGTACTTGTCACTGTTATGGATATTGTCAAAAAAAGATATCTTTTAAAAATCAGAACAGAGACTTAATTTTTTTAAATCGTAAGATTTGTAGAATGTTTCTAGGATAGGATATTAAAAATGATTCAAACCCATGCATGGTGTTAGGTAATTTTTCTAATTATTCCATTGAGTCAGTTTTTGTGATTAGTGGTTATCAGAGCAAACAGATCATGTAGATAGCACAAGTATTTGGAGAAACATTGTCTGTTTTGTTATACCAAAATGTTGGGAGAAAAATTTATTTCAGTACCTTTTAGATTTCATAAAGTGCAGTGTATATAATGACTACCGAAAGACTGTAAAATAATTGAAATTTTCTTTCAAGCAAAGTGTAAAAAATATATTGAGCCTGTAAATTGCTCTGTGACTAGACTTCATTGTCGTCTTAATATATTCTTTGCATGTACATATATATACACATATGTGTATATATATGTGTGTGATTATGTGACCTATGCAATACAAATTATGGGAATGGGCAGCTTTGGAGTATATATCCCATAATTCTTTTTTCAGGAATAGTTGCAGTATTTACACAGCAGCATTTCTTCTCAGGCTTTTATTGGGTGCTGTTGCTTGCTATGTATGAAGAGAAATGTGTCAAACAAGTTTAGTGTGTACTGAAGAGGGATGTGAACAACAGTGTTCATGGGCTTTTAGAATGCTTTTTACTTTCAGTCCTTGTAACTCAGCTGTTCAGTACCTAAAGCAAATTCAAATCATATCGACATTAATTCCTACCAGAAGTAACGTTTTCAAGTTTTCATGGCACATTATGATTGTAAATGTCTCTCAGTTTTAACAGTAAGTTTGTGGGAGTCAGGTGAAGATTCCTGAAATGTCTGTAGTAACTGTTAGTCATGTTTGAATAAGTGTAGTATGAACAAAGTATTTTATTGCACAGGGTTAACAAACAGTATGTTGCCAGCGGAGGCTTCTGCTGTTTTATTACAACATTACCTCTTGTTTTTATAAAATGTACCAAGATTTAAATTGATAACTTTATTTTACATGTTTAAAAAAAAAACAGTTTCTTTTATCACCAGTGTTAGAATTGTCTTCTGTTTCTTTTTGTTTTGTTCTGTTTTGTTTCTTAGCCAAAGAGTAAACAGAAGAATATTATTTTGGTGGCTATACATTTTATTTGTAAAAGTGATCAGTGGATTTTAGACAAAAAATTGGGGAATTTGCTGCCAAAATGAAAATATGTAAAGTGTAGTAATGACAGTGGTAAAAACGTGGGTTAGTACTTATTTATTCCATTAATTGATTATTTGACTGTTTATAAAGAAAGTTGCTTTATTTCTTTAAACATCTTCAAAAGATGACTTTTTCTTTTCACATTATAGCCAAAAGAAGCAGAGAACTTCATTGTCCTGCATTTGGTTCCTGGTTTACCAGGTATAAATGAGCTTTACAAAAGTGCAAAATAAAAACTGTCACTTCTGTTTACCTCCACCAAAACTTGATTTTCCCCTAGCTATTAATTTAAAGTTGCCTTTCTTGCAGCTGCAATATTTTGAATAACACACAGAGTTTGTGTTGATTTTTGAATGTTTGTTTATATCTAGGGGTAATGGAAAATGTAAATCCCGTGTAACCTTTTACACTCCACCTGTATCATATTATTTCATTTTCCCCAAAGTCCTTTAATTCTAACTGAACACCAGCAGTATTTTTAAGTAATTTCTTTCTTTACCGTACTTGGAATACGATTTATTCAAGCTGAACTGTCTTTAGACGTAATTATTGTGAATGTCTGTTTTATTTTATCATGGTGGTTCACATGGCTCTGATGTTCAGTTTGTATTTTTGGAATTGCTTTACTTAGAATTAAAACAGACCAACATTAAATGTGTGTATTTTTTAAAGAGCTAATGAGTTTTGCTTCTGTATTTGCTTGAAAATACACACTAGTGCAGTAGTTGACTTGTTTTTATTTAACCAGGGAGGTAAGGATTTTCTGATTCTACTGCTGATAGGTTTTCTTGAGTTACTCTTTGTAAAACTTTGCTTTTCCTCTTATTCCCCTTATAATAATTAGTATTTACTACATGTCCATCTTGAACAATCTTTTAAAGATATATTTATCTAGCTTGCACTTTATATTTGAAAGACAGTGTATCTGTCTACCTTTAAAAAAATATTTTAGACTTTGCACCTGTTTCTTTTATTTAATACAAGGTATTTGGGTTCAGACAAAAGGATGACCCCCCCCCCCTCAAAAAAAACTTTGCTCCTAGACACAGAGAGAAAAGGTGTAAAAATAATATATCTTACTAATATTGATACCATTTTTATTCAAAACATACATTTTTATAAATACTTTAGTAAATGATGAACATATATTCTTAGGCCTGTTGGTGACTAAACTAGAGCAGAATCAGTTATTAGAATTATTGATAATGTCTAATTCTAATATCTAATCTCAGTTTTTATGTAGAGATGATAAAGTCAGGTCTTGCTGTATATATTTTGTCAATAATTAGTATTCACTGATGAAAGGTGGAAGGATTTCCAACTCCAATTTTTTTTTTTTTGCAGTTATATTCTGATATTCCTATTTAATTCCTCTCTCCCTGTCTTTGTCTATCTCTCTCTCTCTTACTGGGAATTGAATTTATGACTTAGCAATTGCCAGGTAGGCACCGTGCCAATGAACTATATCCCTGACGTCTTATTTAATTTCTTTCATTTTTATATTTAGAAGATTTATCAGTGTTGGGGATAGAAGGCTTGTATTATACGCTACTTTTTGAAACTACTAGATACTCTTAAATTTGGAATGGAACATAATTCGACTTAGCTATTTTTACCAGATGTTTTGTAATATAGTTCTAAAGCTCTTTGAGAATGTGGTGGCAGAATATGTCCTTGTGATATCGTGTGGAAAAATGTTTCTTAATTATATCTAAACAAAGTATTCCATTCTCCCTTAAGTTTGGTCTGTGGCAGTTAATTAGTCATGCTCTTTCTCAGGAATATAAAAACTTGACAGTCAAGTGTAAAGTAAGCACTGTCTTTTTGTGATAGTTTTCTAATTTATAGAGTTAGGAATCTAAGTACCTGTTTTGATACAAATTTAGAGGTAGATAATGTGTAAGCAAACTAACTGACTCTGTAAAAACAAATAGATGGGAATCTATAGAGTACTGTATTGAAATTCTAAAGTTGAAATATCAAACTGCCTTAGAGAAGTAAATAAATGAACATATTGTTAGATTTGCATTCAAAATTAGAATAAGATTAAAAAATTAAACTGTGCACTTTCCCCCCCCCTTCCCTCATTTCTTTACAACAAAATTATTGTTTAGCTCCATTTACATTTTCTATTGTTGGTGATAATTATAAAGACTGGATACTTAGTGATTCATTTTTCCAGTATCTTCAAAGAATGTAGTTTGTTATTGAAGAGATTTTTTTCCCCAGTGGATTTAAACAAGCAAATAAAACTTTCAAAGATGATATAAAATGTACTTTTAGAAAAAGCAGAAAATCTTCAAAATCACTGGTCTACTTTGGCAACTCCTATTTACTAAATGGTGTTCAATATTTTTTTTCTTCCACATCCCACTCTGTGGTATGCATTCCCAATGTGGGTGACATCCCTAAAAGGGCAAAAATTGATTTATGAGGAAGGACAAAACCTGAGTTTGCAGCCCTTCATAGTTTAACTCTACCCATCAACAATCTTCATTTGTCATTATTAGTTTTTGTTTTTTTTAGGTATCACATGAGCAGTACTGACATTGAGTGCGTGGAACAGTCATAAAATAATATGCTTGTTTTGTACACTTAGATCATTTGTACACATGTACATAGTAAGAAACTATAGCAGATGGATGGGCTTTCTTGGTGGACTGATTTATCTTGAAAACATTTTGAGAGATAGTTTGCCACATGCCTATTGCCATTTCTTGGAAATGTTTGATCCTGATGCTAGTTTGTGTATGACCTGGGTTTGGGGAATTAAATAAATCTACTTTGTTTTGTTGTTTTATTCTAACGAGGTCATTTAGCACATCATTAATTATATCATATGCTAATAGGAAAAAATGACAATATGTAAAAGTAAAAAAGGGTCATGGTAGTGCTGAGATCAAATACAGAGGCCTCATGAATGCTTAGTACATACATTTCCATTGAGTTGTATCTAAGTCAACAGTAATTTTTTTCATAGCAAGCACAAGTTAAAAGTAAGCTCCCAAAAGTAGTTTTTAAAAGAAATTAACTATTCCAGGAGTTTTACTTTTGCTGGAAAAGTAGCATTTTTAAAGAATTTTTAAAATTTATAATATATTGGTATATTTATATTTATTGGTAGAATGGAAGATAAAGTTTTGCTATGCAGAACTTAAGACAGTTAGAAATAAGGTTTTGTTTTTGTTCTTGTTTTTATACAGTGAGGGTACTCTTTGTAAATATGATAAGCCTGAAAATGAACTTTCCTTTGAAGAGATGTGGAAGTTATGGAAATAAAAATTGTTGGAAAGAATTTGAAGAAGAAAAGCCTATTGGCTCATCTAACACTTGGAGGCTCACTTTGGTTTCTGTGTTGCTTTCAGAATTCAAGGTTGTGTAACAGAACCAGTGTGAAAATTTTATTTTAATTATATTTCAGAATCTTATACTTAAATTTCCTGTTATTTTTAACTCTCTATACAAATTGTTCAGTGAAAAATTGTATCAGTAGAGACCCAGTTTTGATACTTCTTTATAAAAAACACAAAAACCACAAAAAAATGCCTCTAACTTAAAAGATTTTCTACAATGTATTAGGTATTTCATACTTTTATAAATGCTATTTTTGGCATGTTAACTTTTTCAGTCTGCTGAGAGATTATGAATATTCATTATTAGTATTGCTATAATATGGTGCTACTCACAGGGATCTAGATTTAGTTATTCCTCAGATCCTTAGGATCTTATTCCTCATTTTCTTTATAACCTAGATTAAGTGGTATTTGTTTTTATGTCTTTTTCGTATATATCCTGTGGGAGCTCTTATTTTAATCCACTTTATACACAGTGCATTAAGTGTTATCTAGTTTCTAAACATTATCTGTGCCATAGAATAGAAAAGATTTAAGCATGGTATTCTGGGACAGCCAGATAATAATGTGAATAAAAGTTTGGACCTTATATTACAATTCTGACTTTTGAGTGAGTATTATTATTCCAAAGAAAAAGCAAAAGATATTTTATATTGTTCATTATTCAAAAGAGACTTTTTTAAATTTTGATTTATTGCTTCCTACTTTATGAAATAGAAGATGAGGTGATTAGAAATGTGAGAGCTAGACAATTTTGATATGACTGTAATCCATCTTCCTGGTTCCTTGATTGTCTTACGGTTCTGTAATTCATATTCATGGTTCCTTAAGATAGCAAAAATTGCCTGGCAAGTGTAATATACACTGTGGTTTTCTGTTAACTGGTTGCTCAATTAAGACTATTGCTAGAGTAGGTTCATGTATGTATTTTTTGTTATGAGACAAGAAATTGCATAGTATAGAATATATTTTTAAGTATACTTTTATAGTATAAAATAGTTACTTAAAAGTATAGTACTGTTTTACAAAACAGCAAATTGACATGGCATGGTTTCATTACGTGTACATGTTTCACAGGCAGGCATAAGAAATGTAACAGACTAGAGAGGAGATAGTATTTTCATAGTAATTCATGGGGTTGGGGATAGAGTTCAACTGCACAAGTGCTTGCATGGCAAGCACAAGGTTGTGAGTTCAATCCCTAGTACCAAAAAAAAAAAAAGTTAACTCATTGTTAATTCCTGTTGTTTGGTAGGTTAAATGAATTTAAGAATGATATTATAAATTAATTATTAGTACTTTAAGTACTAAGTGCCAAAATTTACGCAGTTAAAATATTAAGTTTTAGAAGATCATAATTTCCAAAATCATACTTTGACTAAAAGGTAGGTATTTACGTTAGTTTATTTTAGCATGTATGAGAAGTTAACTTGGTGGCATAAAATGACAGTAGTTTATTTGACACAGTTCTGCAGAACTGAAATCTAAAATCAAGGTGATAGAAGTTTTTTTCTGGAGGTTCTAAGAACCTGTTGTATTGTCTGTCCTTTTAACTTCTGGTTGTAGCCAGCAATCCTAGGTTTTCCTTGACTATAAACCAAACCCTGCCAATTTTTGTCTATATTTACAAGCCCTCCTGTTTCAAATCTTTCTCCTAGGGAGGAGAGTAATTTGATTTGAGGGTCTATTTTAAATCTTAGGTTGTCTGATCTGGGGATTCTTAATGATACCTGGAAAGACCCCAGCCTCAAGGTTTGAACATTACCCGGTATTGAACATTTTTGTTGTTGGGAGGAGACACAAGTCAACCCACTAAAGTATGTGCAAAACTGTTTTGTATGCTTCAGTTTTCTGAAAATGGTTTGAGTTGTTGTATTCAAGTTAATGTTTCAGGTGCTATGTTCTGGCTCTGTAATGAATATCCCATGTGTTAAAGATTCAGTCCTCAGCGCATGGTGCTATTGAGGGGAGGTAGCATCTAGTAGGAAGTCGTCAGGTTATGCTCGAGGGATTGCCCTTAAAAGAGATAGTGGAACCCTGGGCCCTCTTTGTGTCTTTACTTCCTGGCCATGAGGTGAGGTGGTTTGGCTCTGCTACATGCTCCTGCCATATTTGTTGTCTCACACAAAGCAATGGAGCAAACCCAATATGGACCATAACCATGAACCAAAATGAACCTTTTCTTTTACAAGTTAATTTTTTCAGCTTTTTTTTGTATGTTTTAGTAGTAATACCAGAAAGCTAACCCAGGAAACTGGTACCAAGAGGTGGAGTTGTTGATATAATTACACCTAATGTGAAAAAAACCTGTAGGATATCTTAAGCATATCAGATAAAGCTTAAGGGTTTAGCTCAGAAGACCAGAATATTGATATAGTTTAAAATGGAAATGAGTCTATTGGAAACCGAATTAAAGAATACCTTCGTTACTCAAGGCAAAGAATTTGTCAGTTTTGTCCATACTCACTGTGAGACTTTGTGGAAGGCTGAGTTTAAAGGAACAAATTACAGTAGATTATCTGCAGGAACAAGTTGCAAAGCAGCATATCTTTCTGGCCAGCCTTGTGGGTATCACTGACAGCTACGTTTATGGTGAGAATCAGGAGCAAAAAAGGAATAAGCAGAAAGATTTGGCCAGAAGTTGGTATAGCCAAGGAGTATTTAGCTATTACAGAAACAAGTACCATTATAAAACTCAATCTTTGGGAAACCAAACGATCCTTGGGGGTCATTTTAGGAAGACTTTCCATAGTAAGGCCTTTGAAAGGTGAGCCCTCAGATGCCTGCTCACCTCGAACTGTGTGGCAAAGTACTCAGGCCATTGCAGCTGTGGTTTGGTGGACCCAGAAACAGTTCATTCTGGCAGCAAACCTTAATGTAATGCTGCCTTTGGAGTCACATGTAATATAAGAGTTTCAGGGTCCTAGAGACTTCAAGCCAGAGTAAATTGTGGGATTTGAGTTCCTGTAAATAGCCTCTAATACAGTGTTACATAGAGCTGTGATAGTGAAGCCAAACTTGTAGTGAAGACCCCAAGCAGGAAGTAGTACTAGGAATATAGAATGGCTGTTCAGGGAAGCTGTGCACAGCATGCAAAGGCACTTTGAGAGTGTGGCCTAGTGACCTGCAACTAGCAAAGCTATGAGAATAGGCATGCCCAAGCAATGGGAGTTTGCATTTTACTATGGTGTGCTTTAGATGCTGGATAAGAACTTAAAGGACTTAGTACATTTGGGGTTATTCCTTTTTTATTAGGAATAGAAATGCTTTTCTGTGTCTGTCCCATCACTTAGAAGTATATAACTATTTTTGATTTTCACAGGAACCTATAGCTATTTCCCTTGAGTCTCATAGAAAACTTTGGACTTGGACTTTTGATGAGTCTTGGTCTGGACTTGGAAAAGCAAAGGTTTTGAGGATCCTTAGAAATGAAGTGAATTGCATCATGAGATGACAAACCTTTGGGGTGCAAGTTTATATAGTTTGGATCTGTAATTTTCCTCAAAGTCCCATAAGGTCTTGGTACAGTTGGAAGTGGTGGAACCTTTAAGAGGTGGGGTCTAGAGCTGGGTGAGGCCAGTAATCTCCTTGAATGGCCAAAAAAGGAAATGATTTCCTTCGATGTTACTATTACATGTTTAATGTATCAGCCTTTTCCTGTTACTTAGTTGAAATACACCATCCTTTTCTATTTCTTTTTTTGGCCAAGGGATAGCTGCCAGTATATAAAAAAATTTATGTCTCTTTGACATAGAAGAATTTTGTATTATGCTAAACAAATTTGGGTTTTACTACTGTGCTTGTGCTGTGCCTGACTTAATCCTGAGGTCTTTTTCAACAAGAATTTTATCATAAATGATTATCCTATGTTCACAGTTTCCCTTTTCCCTTTGTCTACTGAAAAGTAAAGCCAAAATACTAAAAGATAACTACTGTTTAGTTTGATAAGCATCTGGGATACATGGTGTGGTCTTCCCATGATAGTCTACTAATAAACACTTCTAATAATGTTAGTCTTCTAATAATCATGTTATGATGTACTTCATAATTGTATTATACCTTACAGTGTTCTAGAATGTGGAATTGCTTGAAAGATGACTGGGGCCAGTTTTTTAAAGTTCCCTCAAGAAATATTTCATTCTCAGTACCCCCCCCCAAATAAAACCCCTTTTTTCTTTTTTTGTCTTTTTCCTTTTTATTAGTACCGGGGATTGGACTCACAACTGCCTGCTTGCAAGGCAGGTGCTTATGCCGCTGAGCTAAATCCCCAGCCCCTAAAACCCCTTTTTTCATCAACCTAATTATATTTAAAATCCTAGTGAACTAATACTTTTAATGTGGCAGCTTTGGACTATAATTACTTTGGTTTTAATATAAGGATATATAAATTACTTTGCTCACTCAGAAATATGTATATATCAACAGCAATGTCTATCTCGTTTTGTTTTGTTTTTTGTCTTTTTCGTTTTTATTGGTACCGGGGATTGAACTCAAGACTGCCTGCTTGCGAGGCAGGCGCTTATGCTGCTGAGCTAAATCCCCAGGCCCAGCAATGTCTATTTCAACCATAAAGTATTACTGCATGAACATTTTTTATATTTTTATTCTGAAATAACCATACATTAATGGAAAGGGAATCTACAATAAAAAAAAAAAAATGTAGAGACATCTGTGTTACCCTTAACAGTTTTTCCCAGATGCAATGTTTTGCATAGTTCAGTACAAGTCAGAAAACTGATCTTGCTACAATCCAGAGTTTATTCAGATTACACTACTTTTACATCCACTTAGCCATGTATACATGTAGTTCTATGCACTTTTGTCACGGGTAGATCTGTATAATCACTGTCAAGATACAGAACTGTTGTGCCACAATACTCCTTTTATACCATAAAAACAAGAGGCTGTCATGCAAGGTAGAAATCCTTAAGCACCTTGTGCTTATGCATTGTTTTTAGATGTTTGGGCTTCTGAAAGGTTTGTCATAAACCTGGAGCCATCCTCTATGTTTTCCATCCCTAACCTTGGCAACCATTAATCTGTTGCTTCCATCATTTTATTTCAAGAATGTCATATAGTTTTCATAAAGCAAGCAAACTTCTGAGATTTTCTTTTTCATTAATATGATCCCTTTGATACCCACCTAAATTACTGAATATATCAGTAGATTGTTCTGGCCTGGGAGTGTAGTTCAATGGTAGAGCACTTGCCTATCATGTCCAAGGCCCTAGATTTGATCCCTATCATTCCCCCCCAACCAATGTTCTTTTATTGGTGCTTAATATTCCATTGTTTGGAAGTATTACCACTTAATCATTTGTGTGTGTGTATGGTATTGGTGATGGATCACTTAGTTAACAAATACCCAGTGATAACTGACTTGATAAAAATTAACGGTCACTGAACCATATCCTAAAATTATTAATTCCTGCAGTACAAGAGTACAACAAATTCCTTGGGACCATGTTTAGCTATCAAAACTTGAAAATGGATGTACTTTGCCTCTTCATATTTGGAGGATTTTTAAGTATAATGCATAGCTATACAACAGATGAATTACATAAACTCCAACACAAAGTAATATGGTATAAAAAGATGGAGAATTCAAAATTGGAGATGGGAGCACATTAAGAGTGAGATCAAAGAAGGGTTTAGGATAGTATTTACAATGATTGGTAAAATTTTCTTTGATAGGAACTTTATATATACTCAGCTCGTTACCTATAGTCTTTTTTTGTTTAAGGTGGCTGTTGACAAGTATAAACAATGAGTAACACTGCACATTATACACCAGATAAAACACCATTCACTACATGCTGAATTTATTTTAAAGCTCCAGAAGATAATTTCATAATCATAGATACTTGATTACTGTCATTTTTAAGTTTTCATAATGTTCAAGAATGGTAAATACACTTAAATTTAAGTCTGTAACTTATTTCAATGCAATTTTCAAACACTACTTTCTGTATGTTCACATACACATTAGCACATGATCCAAATGCAAATCAGAAACAACCCTAGGCCTTTGTTGAATGTTGTATTAGAAACCCATGACAAATCAGCTCTTAAGTAATCAATGCCCTTCATTTTAGTATGATTAAAAAAATGAAGTAGGTAATATTAAGGAATTCTTGTCTTTAATAAATTTTACCTTTTTGGTTAATACAGATAACATGCTTTTTTTTTTTTTTTTTTTTTTTGTCTTTTTCCTTTTTATCGGTACCAGGGATGGAACTCATGACTGGAACTCCTTGCAAGGCAGGTGCTTATGCTGCTGAGCTAAATCCCCAGCCCCGATAACATGCTTCTTAGTCTCACTCTTTTCATTTTGTCTCTTCCTAAATTTTTTGTTTTTCAAATAAAGGATTACTCTTAATGGTAAGAGATTACTGCATCAGTTATAAAATCAGTGACAAAAATCATATCATTGTATAAGATTCAGTGTTAACAAAATTCAGTGTTAACAAATCAGAATATAGTACAGCAAAGACATATAAGAGGTAGAATTCTTAATCACAGTTTTATAGGAAAGATGTAGTAGTTTTACCCTGCTTTATTAGTTATGGTACTGTAAGTCTCCTTATGAATTTAACAGAAAGGGCAAAAAGGGCTCTTCATAAGCAGTTATCTTACTGACCTTTGTTTTGTATGTGTTACATGGACTTCTAGCCACCTGAAGCATTTTCTTGGTCAATTAAGGTAACTGATCATATACAGTATTAATCTTATTTTAAAAAAATCCTCAGTAGGGAAATAGAGACATTTTTCCCCCAAGAGCCTTGAGGAGGAGGCAAATGTCTCTTTCTGTACTACTCTGAGCATAAATTATCAATGATACCACATTTCCCTGGCTATCGTTATTGCTCATCAAGGTTTCCATCAATATATAAACAGGTTCTATACCCAGATTTTTAATTTGATTGTTTCTAACTCACAATGTATTTATCATAATACTATAAATGGGCATAACTTGAAAATTGTTTCACTTCATGATGAAGTTAAATTACTATTCCTTTAAGATTTTACAGACTGAAGTAAACTAGGGTTGCAGAGAGTTTCATGTGTATATGGCTTATTTACATGTTAGGGGGACTCTGTTTTTAAGCTTCACTGTCAGTAAATTGATCAGAAAAGTCACTTTAAGGAATTTGTATCTACACCCAAAGCTAAACTTTATAGTGGGACTTACATTTTGTAAGAAGTTCCTTAATAGTTATAAAAGATATTTTAAAACTGTAATTTTAGAAAATAAAATCAAATACAGTTTTTTTTCCAGTTACTTGGAAATATCTTTTTATGATTTGTTTTAGGATTGGGATATAATAAGCATATCAGATTATAGATACATATTTATAGTTCTACTTAAGTGATTTTTTTTTTTTTTGTCTTTTTTCCTTTTTATCGGTACCAGGGATCGAACTTACGACTGCCTGCTTGCAAGGCAGGTGCTTATGCCACTGAGCTAAATCCCCAGCCCCAGGTGAACTATTTTGAATCAAATATTTATAAGTTTCCTTCAGTTCTTTTTGTGTCTGACAATTTTGAAAACAAACAAACAAAAAGATTTATTTACACTAGGCCTAAATTCTTTTAGCAGAATTTCCTTCATAAATGCTGGTAATGATGTTATCAAAGTCAATAATCATGTTAAAACTTGCATAACACTGTTGACATAATATAAAAATAAATTTATTTTATTTCATTTAATTTAAAAATCCTACACTTTACATGTTCTCACAGAATGCATTCTTATGGAAAATGAGCAAGCTGTATATAGTTTTCATTTCAAAGAGAAAACCTTTCCTGACTTAATGAGAAAGTATGCCATTGCAGTTTGAAGAATACTAGCTTTTGGGAATGTAGGCTAACTATATAAAACTATTGCTTTTGTTGACATTTTACATTAAAATATATTTTGTTTTAAAAATCTCAAAAATGTTACTTATCTGTTAGAAGAGACATATATAAATAGAGAAGTTGATATAGTTAATCCATAATTACATAATTCCTGGATGATTTATAACTTGATATACCAAAAATTCTATAATTAATTTGTAATTGCCACCATAGAAATATCTAAGTAAAAGCAGACTGTATGATATTGCATTTATGCCCAGTATTATTTAATTCCCAAATGATATCTGTAAAATTTTTTCAAACTTAAAAAATGGTTATTAAATATGAATTTCAATTAAACTTACATTTTGTAAAATATACCTGTTATACATTTACATAAAACTGGGTCACTAAAGTAGACTGCGTAGTAAGTGAAGACTTTCATACTTGTTTTACACCATTTGAGAATGTCTGCAAACATTTTGGAAAAGACTACTAATGGTCTTGACTATTAATGGTAACAACTTACTGCATTTTTCTGCCTTTTTTCAATTTTGTTAAGTAGTTTAGTTTAAGTTCTATTTTTCCTTTTATCTTCAAATAGACTCTTCAGCATGTATACTTGAATGGCTGACACCACCACCATGACAACTAAATTAACCATAGACCAGAAATTGACTCTATCAAAGTTACTTTCTTGTATGTTCCGATCACGGGCTTCAAATGCTTTAAGAAGAGTTTGTATATGACCACTTTTGCTTACTCTGGACTTGATGCTGTTGATGGATTCCTGGAGATAAACAAAATAATTTTACTATAAAAATACTCAGAAATTTTAAGTTAATTTAAAATAGGCTTCATGAGTTTTTTTAATTCAAATATAATTTTAGGATAAATGGTGGCCTAATTCAATGAAATTTAATAGTCATATTATTTAAAGAGCCACTGTAAGGTTATCTAATAGTGTTCCTGATATATTTAAATTATTTAGTCATTTACGAAGATATTAAGATACTATGACTTAATAATATGGAACTATTTGAGTGACAGCATCAGCAATCATATATAGTATCTTTTTTTTAGCTCATGCAAGTGTAAAACAATTACAGCTTTTCAGAAACCAACTGTTTATTTCGTTTAGGTGGTTACCTGTTTTTTAATGCCTTGTGTGTTGATAATATTCTGTTCTTTGAACGTTAGTCTGACCAGTTTGTATCTAGCAAAACATCAAATGTTTTTATCTCACAAAGTATTAGTTAAATCAGAAAATACTTCATTTTTACAGGTACTATTTACAAACAATATATATATTTTTTTGTCTTTTTCTTTTTTATCGGTACCGGGGATCGAACTCACGACTGCCTGCTTGCAAGGCAGGCACTTATGCCACTGAGCTAAATCCCCAGCCCCAAACAATAATATTTGTAATACAGAAAGTTTCCACATCACATTCATAAAAGAAGGCTACCTAGATGTATGCTAAGCTGCATACAACTTTCTGGGGGAAAAAAACTTTATAATATAATAGGGTCCTGTAAGTTATAATAGAGCTGTATGAACATAAAGTAAAATTGAGATTTCAGATGATTATAAAAATATTTATAGCAAAAGTATAAAATACTATAAATAGCTTTCTCTGGAAAATGCAGATAAATTGCTTAGTTGAGTGCTTATTGGACTTTGGCCTCTGGATGTTAATAATTTTTATTATTTATTAAGATCATACTAACCAGGATGTCTTCTAGTTTCATCTCCAATACATCTGTACCAGTAATATATTTCTTCCAATCTTCTTGTTCTTGTGCATGTTCTCCCATATTATCAAGGATTAATTCAAAGAAAATTACTTTCTCAGAAATGGTGCTGAAGGTATTGTCAAAGCAGAACATGTAATCACCAACTTCAGTTTCTACACTGAATTAAAAAAATGAATGTTTTCAGTTATTGAGACTTCTATTTGAAATCAAAAGGAAAACAGTTACAAGTAAAAGAAGAAATATGGTTTATAATTGGATAGTTTTTGAATTTTCATAGTACTAAAAGGTAATTTATAGCTTCTTGTTGAAGCAGTCTGGAAACACATTCAAGTACTTAAACATGTTTGTCATTTACTTGTTAAATTATCTCGACCTAATTTTTGGAAGATGATAGGATTAAAAACCTAGATATAACTAATAATAAATTTTAATATGTATTACTAAAGGACTTTTATCATGAGTTCAGTTCATACGCTTAACTATGAATGTATCCTTCTCGTGAGATTAATGTGTAAATTGTTTTCAAGACTGTGTATACTAAGTATTTCTTCTAGGCCCCATACTAATTAGGCATATTTTTGTAATACAGTTTACAAAGGTTAAAGATAAGGACTATAACCAATAAGGACTACAGAACCTTACTTTCAGTTGAATTACTTTTCTGAGTAAATGCCATTCACATACAAACTGAACTTAAGATCTCTGGTCTTATTACGTTCACATTCAAAATAATTGGTTTGGCCATAGTTGATTCATTAGTGAAGTAGTTTCTAAAGATTTTTTATGGAGATAAACTGAAGCAAGAAAATACTCCATGGTAATAACATTTATTACTGTAGCCCCAAACAGGGAAAACAAACACAGCTTCCTTGAATCAATGGCAAAACTGACATTTTTAAAATGTATCAGTGAAATGCCTATTATTTGTATTGTTAATTATTTCATAGAAACTATTGATAAAACCTTAAGAAATTGGCAAAAAAAAAAAAAAAGCTCTGGTAGTGTTACTGAGTTCATAAAAATTACCGTATGGAGCACTAATAGTAGACACATATGATCTCTTTTATTCAGTTACAAAGCAAGTATAATTTACAAAAAAAAAAAAAACTTACAAACAAGTATACTTATTGTGTACATTAAATGAATTTTTTCCCAAATAAAAAAATTTATGATATTTATAATAAAGGTTTTGATATGTCTAGCAAGTTTTCTATTTACTTAGATGAACTGATTTCTATACCTTTCCAGCTACATTTTAAACTGCTTACCACCCAATTCTATCCAATATCCTAAGGATGGGTTTAACTTGAATTGGAGGATCTAAGCAGTAGAGGTGTGGAGTCAGAACTACTTAGCTTTTGTAGTCGAACACTGAAGTTTTATTCTTCTAATATCCATATCTTTATCACCTCTATTGACCTGAAAATTAATGTAATTTCTTTTTGCTTAGAACACCTTGTCTGTACTTCTCTTTGGTTGACATATAGCATTATATAATCGTGCTTTGCGAGAATAGGATCCAAACTATACTGTTCATTTCAAGATCTTCAGTGAACAAAGAGCCACTTGGACACCTGTCAGTTTTGGAGCAAGTGTTATCTACCAAAGGATGCTGAGCAATGACTGCAACTTAAAACACCTAAAACAAGCAAATATGCCTCACTTTGTAGATTCTGCCCTCAGTGAATGTGTAGGGAGGTTGAAGAAAATACTAATTTAAAGGAAAGATGGATTTGTGTATATGTACTCTGGGCCCATTTCTATTTTCTCAATATGATCCAAAGGCCAAGCTACTAAAAACTGTGTACGTGTGTGTGTGTGTGTGTGTGTGTGTGTGTGTGTGTAAAAGATGTGGTGAGATCTTTCTTGAATGTTTTGCTAATGTCACATATTCAGTTCAGCAAAGAAAGCATCAATTGTTCTGTTCTAAGATCATTGTTTTCTTTTAGAATATACTCTTTAGAGTCAATACACCTATCAATATCCTATTCATTAAAATGTTAAGATCCTACTGGTTTGTCTAGTCACTGATATCTGTATTTTAACCATTTTCTTTATGATGCAATTCCATGTAATGATTACAGACTTGACTTTCCACATTGTATTGTTGGTCACACTTTTAAAACACAATTCCAGTGGTCTTTTCCAATTGCCAATATGCTGGTACAACAGTTCAGTTTTCAAGGTTTGTATTTTTCTGTGGTTTTCTAAATAATTGCAATTCTCATCTTTTAAACTAATCTCCATCTCTGTTTATCCTATTTCCAGTGGATTGTGTTTTTTGTTTAAGCACAAGAGATAACTAAGCAATGGTGAATGCTCAGTTCATTTGTGCTTCAAATATAGCAGCAGCAGTTAATACTTGGGTGATCATTCACAATTTACACACTGACTTCACATCTTTTGTACTGGGTATCAAACTCATGACTCTGCACTTGCCAGGGTGGCATTTATGCCACTGAGCTAAATCCCTGGCCATGACTTCACATCTTTTATCTCTTTTAATCCTCACCATTATATTTAGAAGTAGGTATACCTTAATTTTCACAGGTAAATAAAATGAAGTTCATATAGGTTAAAATACTGGCCCATGATAACAGGATTGATGAAGCTTGATTCCTGATTTTCAAGTTAATTTTTTTTTTGAAACAGGGTCTTGCTATGTAATTTAGGCACGCCTTGAATTCACTATGTAGCCAAGCCTTGAACTGTAGGCACTAGCCTTCTTGCCTCAGCTTCCTGAGTGCTGGGATATGCCATCATGCTTGGCTCAAGTTAGTCTTTCTGTAACACTGCTCCGGACTTGTCTGCAATCTTTGCAATCTCACTTATGACAAGTGTTTGTCTTTTAAGAATATATTTATCTTTGGGAGAGCCTGTGCAAATACTGATAAATACAGTGAGGACTATGTTATGAATATTAGATAATCTAACTTAGATGTGGAACACTTAAGTAAAATTTTCCATTGCACTCTCACATATACACTGTTCAAGTAAATATATGACCAGTAAACATGACTATTCTGAAAGAGAGCATTCACTTTGGTATGTATTCTCAATGAGTATGACATTGTTTAGAAAAGAGGGGGGAAAAAAGATAGTAAAATGGTCTATGGCCTCTGACCTCAACCTTCAATTTTATTCCTTAAAATTTAGTTTCTGTCATTTGATTTTCCTGGTATCTCACAAGCAGCAAGAATTCACAAAAACACAATAACTATGTAATAATAATATTATAAAACCATAGTGTTATTGTTTATATACTGCTCTATTCTATTCCTGGGGCAGTTTCAATTGATTGATTACATGATTATAAAGTTACATTGGAAGAGGTAGTCTGTAATATGCATCTTGACTGACAGTGGCTCCATTATGGAATTTGTTAAATTCTCAGTGATTTTCTGGAGAATTAAATAAGACTAGTCTACTATTTAAGTCTATAGACATTATTTAACTCATTATTAATTAAGCCAAATGGTAACTTTCAGTATTACATAAATAACTAGGAGCCAGTTAGAATTAGTTTACCATGTTGGGGAAAAATTAATTTGACTAAAAACAATTTTTTATAAAATTAATTTTAGAACAATTTAGTTGTGCTGAAACATAAGTTTGAACAATTAACAGATTTTTAATTAGATTACAAATCTCATGAACTTTTATGTACAATTGATACATTGCTGTATTGCAAATAAATGCATTAAAAGTGACTCATAAAATAGTTAAAATTTGCTTTTAATATGAATAACTCCCAATTCTTTAAAAGTTCTAACAATTTTGGACTAAATTATGTTTAATTTAGCTTTACTTATCCATTCTTAAACTGTGAATTGAATAAAAAAAAGCTTTGTACCTTATGTATTTATTATTTAAAGCACATATATACATATAGAAACAAGCATGCAGTATATCTGTGTTATTAAAATGTCATAGGAGAAAAAGTATCTAAAAAGGCTCCAAGCAGGAGAAGACAGAAAGGGGAAAAAGCTGAAAAACACTGACTCAAATTATATGGGCTTCAGCAGCTGTATAAAAAGCACAGCATAAGCAGTTGTATGAAAAAAATTCCTCACTGTGTTACAGTATTGTAAAAATTTATGTTGACAGCTTTAGTAGAAAGGAATCTTATTACAAATATAAAATATGCAACTAAAATCCATAAATTTCTAGTAAAACAGCAAGTTAATCTAAAACATGTTGTAGCATATGCTGAGGTAATATAAATCAATTGTCTAGAAAAAAACTACATTCATATCTGCTCATTAGACAGTGGTAGACATTTTCACTGACCTTATTTTACCAGACATGTGAATCTTGAAAATCCAAGATTTTTTGAAGGAAAAATCTACTTCTGTGTTATAGCTAAGGTTTTAGTTGGTTTTACAAAATTACTATATCTAAACATGAAAGTTTTGTTGTAAATTCTTCTTTTTTTTGGTCTTTTTGAGACAAGGTCGCTATGCAATTCAGGCTGACTTTAAGCTTACTCTGTAGCCCAGGCTGGTCTCCAATTGCAACTCTTCCTACCTTAGCCTCCTAGTGCTGAGATTACAGGTATGCACCACCATGCCCAGTGTAAATCCAGTTTCTAGAAATATTTTTAATTTGCTATAGTGATTAGCAATGAGTTGTACTGTCTGGGTTTAGAAACTGGCCTTGTTTTTCACTAAGTGCTATCCTACAGCAACTCACTTAGCTGTACACTATGCCTCATTAACAAAATGATATATACCTCAGCATTCTGGTGAAAAAATAATACATAAAAAGTCTATAGTGGTTTGGCGTGTTAAAAGAACTCAATAACGTGAACTATAATATATGCAATTCTTTACCTCCCAATGATTTAACAAGAATTCTATAAACGAAAGTAATAAAGGGCTGGGGACATAACTCAGTGGCACAAGTGCCTGCCTGACAAGCACAAAGTCGTGAGTTCAATCCCCAATACAAAAAAAAGAAAGCAATGAAGTACCTCCTTTCTAACAGTTAATTTTCATTTATATCTAAAGAAAAGCAGATAATTGGGGACAAATAAAAATTTGACAACTTTTTTATATTCTGAAACTTAAAGATGAATTATTCTTGTCCATATACCTACCAAAGAGAAAACAATGTGTAGCATATCAATCTAAAATGCCTCCTGAATCATTTTTCTATTTTATTACAGGTTTATGCAAATATTTTTCTGTGTTTTATGTAGGTAAAAGTCCATTTTACGTACATAAAATATTTTTTAAAAAAAACATTTTCACTGGGAGTGGCATTGAACATCTATAATCCCAGCACATTTGGGGGCTAAACCAGGAGGACTGGTAAATTTGAGCCCAGCCTGGACAACTAAAAGGGGTAGGTATATAGCTCAGTGTGGAGGCCCTGAGTTCAATCCCTAGTCCACAAAAAAGGAAACAAAAAACAAAAACAATTTTAAGTTAGTATTCTGAAAAGATATGGTTGAGACTTTTCCCCCTCTCATCTATTTAGTATTTACTCAGTTTCAATTACATTCCAGGCACTTTGGTGACAAAAACCAGTAATTATAATAATAGCGAGTACTTAAAATAGTGCTATGTGCCAGGGATGTTCTGAGCATCACATGGTAGAAACCAAGAGTTTTGGTTCATTCTGTCTCCACCTTGAATGTATATCATTGTAGACTTATTTGACATCTCTGAGCACCCTGGTCTGTAAGGTGGGAATCAGGAACCAAAGAATCTATCTTATACTGTGTAGAAAGATTTACTTAGAAGCACATGATATGCCAATTTTCGCTGATGACAAACACTCTGAGTTTACTCATCCTACTTTTATAAACTCAGTTTAGTTTTAATGTAATATTGACTAATGAATGTGCTATTGTGAAAGAGAATGGAGCAGGGAAACGTGAGAAATGAAGAGAGAAATAACATGTAAGAAGAGTGTGAAACTCTGAACTCAAAGTATTTTTTTTCTGTATGGTTTCCTATGATGAGAAACATTACAGGCCTTCTAATTAGAGTGGTGTGAGTAAAACAGTTTACACATACAAAAATGTATTATATTTTTACTTCAAGAAAGCAGATTATGATCAAAGTGATGTGGCCAGCAGTTCAATAAATCTTTGACACATAACAGTTATGTAACTTTTTAGTTAAAATGGAAAGCCTGTGCTAGCCAGAAAAGTGTAAAATACTTAAAATGTGTATGTGCTGCTGAAGCAAGGGCAATGAAGAAAAAATGTAATCAAGATCAAAAACAAATGCTTAAAAAAAATTAGCCAGTTGTAGCAACTGAGGAGGTACAATCCTTTGATCCTAGAGATTCAAGGTCAGCCTGGGCAATACAGCAAGTTCTTGTCTCAGAAACAAACAAACAAACAAACAAACAAAACCCCAAAACAACAACAACAAAAAAAACAGTTAATTGAATATGTTTTACTTTAGAAGATGGCTCATCACCAAAGACTTTATAATCATTTCGAATAATCTAATACTATTAAATTTCCATGTCCTACAGATAGTCCTTTAGCCAAAAACCCAACTTACGTGTGAACGCCATCTGATTTTCTTTGTTCAAAAACTAAGGTTTTGCCATTCGGAGAGGCAAGGTGGAAATCAATATCTAATCCTGCTCCATCTAAGACCTGTAGAAGAGCGTACAAGAAAAAAATATGTATTACAAATTCTGAAAAATTATAAAGTAGATCAAATGATACAAGTTTTTTTTTTTCCTGAACCCAGAAAAATAAAAAAAGTCACCAAAGTTGTGGTAGGACTAGGATCTTCCTTACCCATTCCTGTTGCCATCACCTTGATTTAGGCCTTGTGGACGTACTAAAAATACACTTTCCTAAAGTAGTACTTTCATTGAGGAGCCTGGTGGAGTGCACGGTAATATACATAACAGTTCAAATGTTAGTGCTATATCTTTTATTTAACGTTTAAGTAATTTAAGACACACTATATACATTTTTTAGTTTGTCTCCTTTTTAATAAACAATAGTTACTTCTTTACCTAGAACCCTAGGCTTTTATGAACTAACTGCAACTGAGTTCTTCAACACATTATGAATTGTGTATCCCAATCAGGTCAGTCCCCTTACTGGTCAGTGAACACGATTTGTTCCTTTATAGTACCAAAATATCTATATAAAGATAACAGTGATAACAGCAGATCACATTTATAGTTTATGCCAAAGTTTTAAAGTGCTTTAGCTTTATGTAGATTACCTTATTCCTTTCAAAACTCTAAAAGGTAGGGTTTATTTCTGTTTAGTTAAAACACAACAACAACAACAAAAAAAACAGGCAGAGTAGGAGCTTTTCCAAAGATACAAAGAAAGTAAGTAGCAAGGTCTAATTTCAACTCAGCAATCTATCTCTAAAGTAATTTTTTTTTTGTCTTTCTCCTTTTTATCGGTACCAGGGATCAAACTCATGACTGCCTGCTTGCAAGGCAGGCGCTTATGTCACTGAGCTAAATCCCCAGCCCCTCTAAAGTAATTTTTAATGAGTATGCTGTGTTGCTTATAGTTCTAGTCCATTTTCCTAAATAGATAAGTTCCTGATCCAATTAAACCTATTTGAGTACCAGCTTAAACCTTTAGAAATGGACTCCGCTGTTCTGTCATACTGTCTCCTGCATTTATATAGAATACGCACCCATCCTCTTTGGTACTTAGTAAGACATTATCTGGGACAAAGCATCTTTATGATGGATGAATGTTTTCAAATTGTTCTCTATTTTTATAACTCTAGGGATACTGATCTTAACAATGGTAATAGCAACGTTTCAAATTTGTCACAGAGGCAAATATTTAATTTGTATATCATACAAATTAAAGCACCTTATCATTTCACTGTAGAACTGTGTTTGTTCCACTTTTGTCTTCCTCTCTTTAAACTCTCTCCCTGGCTTTCCGCTTTATTTTTAGCAGTGTAAAAATTATCTATTTGAAACATATAGTACAGTCTTTTTATTATTTTAGCTTATTAAATATAACAGATGTAGTAGTCTCTCTTTTTTTTTAACCTAAATTCAATAACTACTTTTTTTTTTAATCTGATTTTTTTTTCCTGGTTTTGGTGGTGCTGGGGATTGAACTCAGGACCTTGCGCATGTCAGGTAAGCACTCTACTACTAAAACAAACCCCTAGCCCCTCTTTCTTAACATCACATTTTACTTTTCTTGCTTACTTTAGTAGAAAGTTCTATTTGTGGGCCCTGAAGATCAGTAAAACTGGTTTCAAATAGCTGGGTAAATATACATAATTCTTTTTCTTCTTTAAATCTCAATGAAATGCAGAAACTACATAACAAGTATTATAATTCATAAGACTGGCAGTCTTCTTAGGTAAGAGTAGATTGGGTACATTCACGATGGTATGGATATAGACAACACAACTGGAAATCTCAGAAGGCAGACTTAAAGATTATGGGATTTTTGTATGCTACCATTGAGCAAAAGATATAGCTACCATACTTAAAATATAAAAATTTTCAAACAGACTACAGAAACATCATATATTTGCTGCAATTGATGGCCTTATTTTCATACTGTTGCTTTTTCTTGAGGTTCAAATTCCTACTCCAGTGTGGAGACACAAGCCTATAATCCCAGTCCTTGGTAGGCTGAGGCAGGTGGATTGCTCTTCAGAGCCAGGCTGGGCTACATACATAGTGAGACCTTGTCTCAAAAAAATAAAAAAGGTCCTCTGAAATAATTAGAACTTAAAAACATGTTCTCACAGGATACAAAATGAACACTGAAAAACCAATAGCTTTGCTTTTTCTCAGATTCATTATCATTCATAAACCAATAGCTTTTCTACACACCAATAATGAACTAGCTGAAGAAAAAAAAATTTAGCTGAAAATCTGAAAAGTAATTCCATTCACTATAGTTTTAAAACACAAACTTGGGGATCAATCTAAAGGGGTGAAAGACTACTAGATTGCTGCAATGAAAATTTCAAAACACTGAAAAAAATTGAAGATAACACTAGAAAATGGAAAGACCTCCCATGTTCATAAATTGACAGAATTAATACTATTAAATGGGCACAATACAAAAAAATAATCTACAGATTCAGTGCAATCCCCATCAAATTTCCAGTGACATTCTTCATAGAACTAGTAAATACAATCCTAAAATTCATATGGAAACACACACACATACAACAAAACAAACAGAAAAGCCAAAGCTTTGCCATCTCCTGATGTCCATCTCTAGGCTTCCAGCATGGACTCTTCAGCCTTCAGGTGCACTGTTTATTTTATTTTTTTTTTGTCTTTTTCATTTTTACCGGTACCAGGGATTGAACTCACGACTGCCTGCTTACAAGGCAGGCGCTTATGCCGCTGAGCTAAACCTCCAGCCCCTAAGGTGCACTGTTTAGCCTCCATATATAATGGAATTTTATTCAATCATAAATACAAATGAAATTATATTATTTGCAGGAAAATGGGTCTTGAGACCAAAATGTTCAGTGAAATAACTCAAGCACAGAAAATTATACATGCGGTTTCTCTGAGATGAGAAATCCAAAATAAAAATAAAGAATAAAAATAAAGGAAAGATGGTAGAAAACATAGGTAACTTTCTAGAGATGGGAAAAGGGATAACAGAAGGGGGAAGGGTAAACAGGAATCAAAAATATCAAGATATGATTTATTATATATGTAGCAAATTCCCCAAAGTAAATGTAAATACAATATTATAAACATAAACCTAAAATTATTTTGAAAATACTACTGAAATTGAAAAGAAATTTTATGTGGCTTTTCTCGTAAAAACCTACCCAGATACCTGGTTTTAAAAGTTAGGCAAATGCAGGTTCCCTCATTCATTCACTTAAGTATTTTAAAATACCTATTAGACACTAGCTTGTTCTAAACTCAGCCTATATTTTGTAGCTAAGATTTTTTGTGCTTATTAGGTGTCAGGGACTATGACTTTTGCAGGTATTAACATGTTTATTCTTCACTATAATGATAGAAGTGAGTGATACCATTTTTTATATATATATGGAAACTGTGGTGAGATCAATTTGATACCTTGAATCATTTTCAAAACACAAATCTGATTCAACAGCTTCCCAATACTCCCTATGAAAGACTAATATCCTTAACAAGGATATCCTTAATCCATATCTTTGAAAAGTTCTACATGTTATGGTCATTACAGACTTCTCTAGAATAATTTTGTGCTGCTACTTCTTGTTAGTGCTGTCAAACTCTCATAGAGATCCTGCCTTTTTCTAGACACATACTATTCTTTCAACCCTTGTGCTGTTCTGCTTATCTCCTTAAGCCTAGTGGAAACCTGATTATTCTACAGTTCTTAATTCTGCTTCTCTGGAATGCTGTCTCCTTTCAATTTCCAGATGAATTCAGAACACTAATCAAAATTATACTTTTTTAAAAAAAATCGGTACCAGGGATCGAACTCACAACCACCTGCTTACAAGGCAGGCGCTTATGCCGCTGAGCTAAATCCCCAGCCCCCAAAATTATACTTTTACATTTACTTTGAAATAACTTAATGTCATTTCCTATAATTGACTATATGAGGGCATGAACTAAATTTTTGCTTGCCATTGTATTCCTAGCACCTAAATTTTTAAATTGCCTCTTATCCTAGCTGAGGTCACAGAGGTCAGAGGTTCACAGTGAGTTCAAGGGCAACCTTGATAACACAGTAAATTCAAGACTAGCCTAAACTACACAATGAGACTCCCTCTCAAAACAAAACAAAACAAAACAAAACAAAACAAAACAAAACAAATCAAATGATTTATTTTATTTGTAAGATATATGTAATGGTATTAAAAAATTTCAAGAACTTCTGAGTTTGAGTCCTGATACCAAGAAAAAAATTAAAGTGTAATGTTGGTCAGTTACCCAAAAAGAAGGCTACTACAATCTAAAAAATAAGAAATGATAAAAGTTTCAAACAGCTTGGAGATGTAGTTCGATGGTAGATTGTTTGCCGACCAGGCATAAGGCCATGGGTTTGACCCTGCACTGGGGTAAAAAAAATTTCAACGTCATAGTAATCAAGGACAAAACAATAGGAAATCAACAACAGCTACCATAATATGTCTTGTTTTCTTCAAAATAGTTGTCCATACTTTCACACATAATAAAATCAAACAAAACAAAACAGACTAAAACTAATCAAAACAAAAGAATAAAAGCATTATAGGACTTTAAAACTAGATAATAGGAAATCAGCAATGGCTACCATAAGATCTCATTTTCTTCAAAAACCATCACATGTAATAAAATCAAACAAAACAGAATAAAACCATCAAAACAAAACAATGAAAGCATTATAGGACTTCAAAACAAGATAAAAGGAAACCAGCAATGGTTACCACAATACATCTCATTATCTTCAAAATAGCTGCCCATACCATTAGACACAGTAAAATCTAACAAAACAAAACAAAACCAAACCTAACAAAATTATGAAAATGATACAAGAATTCAAAACAAGACAATAGGAAATTAACAGTGGTTATCACTTTCCCTTTTTAGGTGTTTCCTGCCCTATCATGTTCATAGTATCTGTTGTGCTTTTTGGATCTCACTAATTCCTTCAGTTTTTTTATGCTAGGGAGGTAACTCAGAGTTCACTCA